GCTAGTCATTGAAAAATCACCCTACGTGGCTGCTGCTAGGAGGGTCGACCTGTCACTCTGCCACAAGGCCTCCGTGGGACACTGCGCTGGTGGTCTTTTTGAAGAACAGATCGCTTGAAGATCCACCAATCCCACGTTTGCACATTTGGGTTGTTTGAACATGCACCGCCCCCAAATCCAAAGGATTACCCTCTGGTTATTTAACATAGCCATGGAAAATGGCCGATCTATAGATGGTTTACCTATTAAAAATGGTGGATCTTTCCATGGCTATGTTAAATAACCAGACGGTATTTCATTTTTTATTTCATGGTTTTCTCAATTTGGCAGTTGTGGAGTACAGTCGGACAAACCCATTCCTTGCTGTCAGCGAGGCATACGATTGCTGCTGGGATCCTAGTTCCACCATAGCTACGTATCATGACGTATCCATACGTATCCATCATTTGTTTCTGACACCAATGCCCACCGTTCCGAATGTTTTCAGATAAAGGAGATGCATCATGATGCATCCACCTCCGGAGCTTCCGGAGCTTCGCTGAGGTTTGCAGCATTTTCACGGCTCCCATTTCAAGACGCGCAGGCACCGTGAACTCAGCACAGTCAAATTATGAAAACAGTCAGCCATGGGACAACAAAGATAAATAGTCCATAATTATCCGTTACCCCAAACGTATTCAATACGATTAACTATACCCCAAACAGCACCCTGGTAAAATGTACTGAATCTCGTCATTTTGGCAGTAAAGACCAGTCATAGGTACTCTATTTGGTATAACACCCATGCGACAGATGGACTGGTGAATTTTTGAGTAAGTCTATAGCACCTATAGCACTAACATTACTGCGCATCCCAGTCTGAGGTTACCAAACTAATTTTAGTCTAATTAGTTACCAAATACATTGACGTTAGATACTGCAAGTGCTTGGCCAGGTTAAATCTCCTGACGCTCTTGGCTGTCAAAATGCCTGTCCTCAGATCGAAGCATGTGAAATTGCTGCAAGGACCTGGTCAATGATGGGAAGTTAGTCGCTGGTTTTTTCAGAGTCGTTGAAGAGAGAGCTATTTTGTGGGACATCATATTTGCCATACCCTCTGGTAAACGTTTACATAACTATGGGAAATCACCATTTTTAATGGGAAAATCCACTATAATTTGCCATCATATTTGCCATATATAGAAAAAATCGAATGGGAATGGATGATTATCATAGTTGCAGTTTCCCTTAAGGTCGCTTCTTTAGGGTATCTCCTGGATCGCTGGATAAATGGTGATCAATGGTGATTCATGGTGATTGCGCTTAGTGGTGCGGTTGTTAATGGTGCTTCATGGTGGTGAATGCAAATACCATATAGATTTAGGTATACATATATATATATATGTATGTAAACTATATATAATACAATTTATCCCCAATATAATATGATCCACTCCACGTATAATATGTATATATATAATGTATATATATATTACTATATATATTATTATATATTACTATATATATTATTATAATATATATATATATATATTACTATATATATATTTATATATTATTATATAATATATATATAGTATTATATATAATATATAATAATATATATATGATATATATATAATAATATATATATATAATATATATATAATATATATAATATATATATATAATATATATAATATATAATAATAATAATAATATATATATATAATAATAATATATATATATAATAATAATAATATATATATATAATAATAATATATATATATATAATAATATATATATATAATATAATATATATATAATAATATATATATATGATAATATATATACAATATATATAATAATATATATAATAATATATATATATAATAATATATAATATATATATAATAATATAATAATAATATATAATAATATATATAATAATACATTAAGAATACACACATATAATATACATAAACATAGATGTATGTGCATGTATCTCCCCATTATATATATATAGTACTACACATATAAGCTTTTTGTTATCCTCAGAAGATGGTTGGCGTATATCCCCTTCATGGGCAATACCCATGAAAGGTGTTTTTTTTGCTCTGCAAATAGTCGTGCAGCCAGGACGTTTGAATGATGGTCCTGTTGATTGTTTGCAAGGTCCGCGAGTCTGGATGTGCATAATGGAAGTGGTCGTTGTTTTTGTAGGGAATATGCAATGATCCAGTTATCATATATGGGACATACCGCAATGATATACTGTATATACACATGCACTTGTATAAATGTATATATAAACCACTTGTTAACCTTTAGTTCGTGGATTTTCACGGCTCATTTCACCGTAGACTTTCTGGTTTTCCAGCTGAGTCAACTGACCAGGCCTGCGACATCTTAGGCGGCTCTTGAAAGTAGGACCGGTGGGCCCCAAACAGGTCAAATAGTTTGAAACCCGGATTTTGGTTTGAGGTAAAAAACATCCAAAACCCATCCAAGAAGCACAACTTTCTATCTTTTCTGGGATTACCTTTTTACCCTATTTTGTTGTGATAGTAATAGTACTGTAATATAGTATATTGTAGCTATAACAACTATGAGTAGCTATAATGATTAAGGGTACTTAGCATACAGTATGTCTTATAGTCTAGTTAAATAGTTTCATGAATGATTCTATCCAATAGGTAGCTTGCCTTTTTATAACAACCCCACACTAGAGAACATTAGAGACAAAAGTGGATCCTTTTGTTCGGTTGCTACACAGAAAAACCCAGTGATTGCTCATCTCTCTCCCCATTCAAATTCCAAAATTGCTGGGTAATTCTATATCACATGGCCATTTTAATGGTGGGTAATGGATCAGTGATGAATGGAACTCATGATCAATGACCCCATTCGTTTGATGTCACAAATCCACTTATTATATAATTGTTTCCCCATTCAATGACTGGATTCTAGGGTACCCATGGGTACCCCATGTATCGACAGGACTGCCCAAAGAGGATGTGCAGCAGGCCCCATTTCACCGGCCGATATAAGCAGCCTGGCTTTCAAGTTACATGCAAGGGATTTAGCAGGAAGATCTCCATCCTCTCAGAATGCAACCAGCCGCAAGTTCAACTTGCTTCCTTGAAGAGTTGCGTGTTGTTTTGGTGGTTTCCCAGCCTGTAGGTTGCCAACATACAGCCCCAAATGCGGTCCAGCAAGCCTCATTAGACCTGTAGGCTGTCGACATACAATCTCAAACTGCTCCAGCATGCCTTAGAACATTCCCTCAAGGCATTTGTTTGTCAAGTGCAGGCGAAAAGGCACCCTGCTTTGTTGAGTCCAGAAATGGGGGGCATTAAAACTCGGGCCCAGACTTACCGCGAAAAAAAAACATGGTTTATGGCTTTGAACGTGATACTCACAAAAAAGCTTAGTTTCGTACTAAAGTCGCGAACCCGATTCAACCAACCAAGTATATCCACATGACATGAAACATGGACTCTGAGACCAGTTGGGATGCCAGGGCGTTTCTCAAACTGAGGCTTTCCCCATTAAGTCGTCACAAAAGGCGACCGAATCGGCAGGTGTTTAAGAGATCCTTCCAGCTCTTGAGATCGGAACTGAAAGGGTCCAGGCGTCCGGGAGTTGGTGGAACGGTGGAACCATATTTTTGTGGGGAAAGTGAGGTCAAACCATGAGATATGGAGGTTTCCTAGTTCGGGGGCCTCCAAAATCATCCATTTTAGACTGGGATTTTCCATCACCATCCATTTTGGAGGTCCCACATTTTAGGAAACCCCCATATCTCATAGATATCATGGATGGATCATGGGTGGATCTGGCATTGGTGAGGTATTTCGCAACCGCTGCTCAGCTGTGCTGGGGCTCCCAGCAGACATTTGGTCACTTTGACCAGAATACTTGAGGATGGTACAGCTATGGTCAGCAATTCATCGATCACCAGTTATTGCTTGACATGTAGCAGCTCTTGGGAACCACGGAAGTGCTGACGCCAAGGTGCTGACACAACAGCGAGGCGCGGCTCGCCGCGCACAGAAGTGGAGTTGTGGTCGTCAGTTGCGTGTTTCTTTAAATGCTGGACCGCAAAATCCAACATTTCCATACATTTCCAGCATTTTCAATGGGAAAAAATATCATTTCCAGGACTGCCGGACTGGACTATACCATGCTTTTCTATGCAATTCTAAGCGTCTGGGAGGACGTCCCAGACCCGCTTTAGGGATGCAGCTCATTGTAATGATTAAGCCGACTGACCCAACCGGCCGCAGTTTTTTGCAGCCTCGGAAGAGTCCGAAGCCCAGGTTGCAATACATGTCCACACAGACATTTGCTGCATGTAATCAGCCGATTAGCCACTGACTTGTATGATATATTTGGCTGCAATCAACCAGAAATCGCCAAAACAAGCTATTGGCGTTGCCTGCCGAACTAGTCGCATTGCACGACTTTCAAAACCTTATGTAGGTCTAATGTAGTGTGAGTATGTGTGAGTGTAGTATGGTATGGAGCCATTCACTTCACAGCCGAGGAAAAGATCGGGCTGATCAGGCATATGACTGGTCCGACTGCCGATGATGATGCTACCTATATGATGATATATTATGACCGTGGTCATCATTGCAATCCACGTCATCCATCGTCATCCATCGTCATCCTGCTATTTGCTATCACTCAGATTTAGTAGATTGAGCACGGGCATGACGCATCATGATACCATTCGTCCATACATGGGACACTTCAGGCCCTCTTTCCTACGTCCAAAAGGCGAAAGTTTGAGCGTCAGGCGCTTGCCGGGGCAGGGGTGCAAAACGCATGGCTTGTTTTTGCTCAGTCTGAAAGGGACTTCAAATGTAGTATCTGTTCTTATCAGTGCGACCATTGATTAGGCAGTGCATTTACCGATGTATCCTGAGGCTTTTTGTGTCAAGGAAAATAAGGGCGAGTGTCCTTAAGAGGGTTATAAGCCCAACCCATAGGTGACCCTGCGCACTTCTAGGGAAGCCATGGAGCGGGCATCTTCAGAACCACCAAAAGAAGGTGGAGTAGCATCTGGGAATCCCTTTTACTCCAGGAAGGTTCAATTAGCATGTGAGGTTGAGTCCCTACGACCCAAAGGTTTGCCAGAACATTCCCCGGGTTCCGACTTTCAGCCGCTCAGCAACGACCGTGCAGCCACTGGGCAGTGTGTGGGGAAGGGTCGTGGAGGGCAGACGTCGGGCAGAACAACAACATGCTTTTTGACTCCGCCGAGCAAGCCGCTTGGAAGTGATCGGGAAACTGGAGTGCGAAGGTCTGAAGGTAGAATGCCTGAAGAAGTAGAAGCCAAACAAACAATGGGGAAACTGAAAACTGGTGATGATGCGAAGTTTTCTGATCCTGAAAGTTTACAGCGGGCCTTAGAGATTGAGGTGGTCTCACAGCTGAGGGAGCAAAATGCACGACTGATGGAGGAGTTAGAAACCTATAGACAGTTGAAGCATACCCCAAAGTCTGGTGATGGGTCTTCTCAATCCTGGGTTGAAATTCGAGATGTGCAGAGTGGTGATGGAATAGATGGCCAGGGTTGCAAAACACCTCGGAACACTGTCAATGTGGGGAATTCGGTGAGATATACCCCAAATGGCACCCAAGTTCCAACTGGCACACCACCGACAGATGAGCGTCCGGAGCCTCCTGCACATGTGTCTGTGCCTCCAGTGCCGCCGTTTCCAACTGGGGTGCCTGAAGATGCAACAAAGTTTTTGGATGGGTATGAATCTTTTCATCAAATTTCAAAGATGCGGGTTGTGGATCAGCAGTGGAAACTTGGTTGTGAGGGTCCGAAAGAACCAACACCAAGTGAAGCTAGGACATTGTGGCTGGAAAGAGAAGTTCAGGCTTTGCGGAACACCCTAGCATCAGTGTCTCATGGGAATTCCTTCCTAAAATCTGAGTATTGGAATGGTGGTTTTCAGCGTAGTGATGCAGGGGTCCAGCCTTCATCCAAACCTGGGTTCAGTCAACATGTCACCTGGAGTACGGGGGATGTTCCAGCAGATCTGGGACGGGTTGACCCTGACCGGGCTGAAGCGATCAGCAGAGCGTTTCCTGGTGATGTATGCCATCAAGGTCGGGCTGGCAGTTTTGGCAGTGTGCAACATAAAGATTGCGAAGGTCACTTGCTTGGCGGAAGTGGTGATGTATGTGCACAAGCTCGGGCTTTGGGCACGCCGTCTCTTCATCAAGGTGTATGCCAAGATGGTCGGGCTCTGAGCAATGCGCAACTTCGTCAAGGTGTATGCCAAGACGGTCGGGCTCTGAGCAATGCACAACGTCCTCAAGGTGTATGCCAAGACGGTCGGGCTCTGAGCACTTCGCAGCTACGTCCAGGTGTATGCCACGACGATCGAGCTTTGGGCACGGTGCAACTTCATCCAGGTGTATGCCACGACGATCGGGCTTTGGGCACGGTGCAACTTCATCCAAGTGTATGCCATGACGATCGGGCATCTGGTGCAGCGTATCCACATCATCAAGATCCACATCGCTCTTGCCAAGACCTACGGCCTCACGGAGGAGGAGGTTTCGGAGGTGGAGTGGAGTCGCTTCCAACGTCATGGGAATCAGGAGGAATCGGCAGCTCGACAAAAGCTGACCTCCCAGAGTTGCCGTGCAATGCAAGTCCTCTGCAGTTTGGTGACTGGATCCATCTTTGCGGACCGGTCATGAGGGATCTGTCCTCTGTGGCGAGCAGATGGTGGGATCTGACGGTCAGACAGGCACAGACCCACTACGCTGATTGGAAACAGGCTACGCCATTGCAGAGGGTTCAGATAGATCCAAAAATCCCGGAGGAGCTCAACGATCGGTGCTATGGCAGAACGGAGCAACGAGGAGTTCATCTACTTCTCAAGTCAGTGTCTTCAGAGATCCAACAGATGCTGGTGACGGACAGGCAGTTGACCAGCACGGCAATCCTCTACAGGCTCTACATCAGGTACCAGCCAGGGGGACCTGGGGAGAAGTCACTGATTTTGAAGGAGCTGACGCAGCTGCCGAAGACTCAGACGATGTCGGAGCTGGCAACGGCCTTGCGGAGTTGGCGGAGGCACTTTGGCCGAGCAAGAGAAGTTGGGGCCAGTCTTCCTGATGGAACTCTTCTGCTACGAGCACTGGAGACTGGAGTTCAACTGGTGGCCAAAGAGAACAGCCAGGCAGCATTTCGTCTTGCTCAAAGCAGATCAGCGCTTCAAGTAGATGAGCACCCACAACCATCTACGATCTGGGATTTCTCTCAGTGTTTGCTGGCAGAGGCGGAAACTATGGTGTTGATGACATCTTCAACGACAACATCTACGGAGGCCACACCATTGAAGTTGAAGGTCATGGAGACTGGGGACAATGTGGTGGGCAAGAAGTCTGCTATGGAGGCAGGTGCAACGGGCAAAGGCCGTGGTGGAGCAATAGAAGCCCCATGTCGGTGGTTCAAAACCGACGCCGGCTGTCAAAACAATGCAAGTGGCAGCACAGCTGGGAGGGCATCACTGACAAGAATGCAAGGTGTTGGAACTGCGGTTCAAAGGCCCACAGAAAGCAGGATTGCCCTGTGAAAGGAGGTGGATCAAGACCCAAGGACGAAACCAAGGTTTCGGGGGGAGGATTGGCATCTTCTTCAAGTGCAACACCTGCCACACCAACTTCAAAATCATCACCAACTGTGACTCCTATCAAGCCCAAGGTGAACGAGATGTCAAATGCCACTACATCCACGACATCCACGACGGCATCACCAGGAGAGTTGAAGTCTGGCAATCCTGGAAGCGAAGGTGATGACATCGCCAAGAGCCTTGGAGATGGAGGAACGGGAGGTGAGCAAGCAGTGAAGAATGAAAAAACGGCTGAGCTTCTTCATGAAGCGACACAGCTGTTAAAGACTCTTCGTATCCCGCCGAAGCTCAATGTGATGCGGATCAGCGAGCTGGATCGTGGACGACAAGATCTAGTTTTGGTGGACTCTGGTGCAACTCATGCTTTGAGGCCGGCCAGAGACGATGGTGAATGGGGCAATGGTCAACCAACCACTGTGATGCTGGCTGAGGGGTCAACCAACAGATTCCGCCTCAAGCCAGGTACCAGGATCCTCTTGTCAGATCCTGGAGCTGCGCAGGCATGGATTGTGCCAATGGGTGGTCTAGCTGATCTGGACTTCACCATGCAGTGGTCTGGCAATCAATGTCAACTACGAGATGACGAAGGCCGCGAGATCGAGGTGCTGGTTCAGCATGGATGTCCAATGATCTCATTGGCTGATGGACAGCGTGTCTTGGAGTGGCTGGAGCTTTTTCAAGTACATCAACAACGAAAGATGGCCATGGTGAAAACGTTCATCAAAAACCCTGAAGATCTGAATCCTCTGAAGTTGGGCCTGGAGTTGGCCATGACGGTGAAGCTTCAACAGCTGTTTCCAGGTGTCCCTGAGGAGATCATGATGAAGTTGGTGCCACGTTTAGAGGCTGTGAAGTCTGAGATGTTTGGAAGTATGCTGCCATGGAACAGGCACAAGCGAAGAAGGCTTCAAAAAGCAAAACATGTGGTGCTACATGTTTTCTCAGGTGACAATCCACAGTACTGGGAGCGACAGCTGAGCACAGCCAACACCGAAGTTCTTTGCGTCGATCTTCAAGGTGGGTGCCATGCAAATTTGCTGGACAAGCATGTGTATGGGTTCTTGCTGACGATTGCGGCAAACTGCGAGCTCTACTTGGTGGCCCTCCGTGTCGTACAGTGTCAGCTTTGAGAAGCCAAGGAGATGGGGGACCGGGGGAGCTGAGAACTGAAGAGCATCCTTACGGATTACCAACGTTGTCAATGGCCGACATGGAGAAGGTTCAGAATGACAGCATCCTCTTCTTCAGGTTCTTGTCGCTGTATGCGGTGGCCAAAGAGGTGCAGTTGCCAAGTGACCCAAGTCCGCAGTTGATCTTGGAGCAGCCCAGAGACCCCAAAGAGTACAGACCTCCAGAAGATCTGAACCGCAACAACTACATGTCGATGTTTCGAACAGCTGCCTGGAAGCGATTCGCAGAGGTGTTTGAGCTCTACAAGATCGACTTTGATCAGGGCCCCATGGGACATGAACGGAGAAAGCCAACTACGCTCTTCACCACGATGGAAGTGCTGTTGCAGTTGGATGGAATCCATGGAGCTCCAGAACATCCACCACAAGATTTGCGAGATCAACCTCTACAAAAGCGAATGGAAGCTTCAAAGAGATGGGCGGCATGGGCGCCAGGCTTGAAACAGGCATTGGTGGTAGCCATTCGACAACATCTACAAGAGTTGGAATATGAAAGAGCGGCACAAGATCAAGGTGCAGAACGCTCTGATCAAAGGGCCAGACATGCTTCAGTACAACCACTGCAAGAAGGCCCAGGACAATCAAATAATCAAATTTCAGTGCAATCTCTGGAACCTGATTCAATACAACAACAAGATGAAACAATGGAAGTGAATCAAAGAGGATATCAAGCTCAACGGCCAGAAGGATCTCAGCGTCCACCAATGGCAAAGGCACTGGGACCTGTAGCCCTTGAACAATGGAAAAGGCATTTCCTCAATGACCATCTTCCGGCAAGGAGAGATTGTTCTCACTGTGTCCGTGCGCAGGGGAGAAGCAAGCCACATCGACGTATCCAACATCCTGCTGCATACACTTTGAGCGTTGACCTCTCAGGGCGCATGACTCCAGGGGATGACCAGCAAGTGAAGGCCTGCAAATACCTTCTGGTAGGATGTTACACCTATCCGGTCACCCGGGACGGTCGCTCTTTGGTGCAGGTGCCTGGCAAACCCGATGAGGACGCTGATGTACCTCTACCAGGACCTGATGCAGAGATGTCGGATGCAGAAGAGCAACAAGATCCACCTGAGGATGTTCTTCTTGAAGAAGAAGATGTGGAGACGGAAGCTGTGGAATCACCGGCAACAAGAAGGGCAAAGTCGATGAACGAAACATGGAAGAAGCTCATCGAGCAGGCCGAGAATGTGACAGTTCGTCAACTGACCTTTGTGGAGCCTGTGAAAAGCCGGTCGGTGAAACATCTTCTTCCTGCACTTTCCAAGGTACATGCCCGTATCCGAGCAATGGGATTGCCAATCTACCGCATCCACTCAGATAGGGCACGAGAATTTTCTTCAGCAGAAATGCAGAGCTGGGCACTAGATCGCAACATTTTGACGACGATGACTTCAGGAAGCTCCTACAAGGCCAATGGACGTGTTGAGGCTGAGATGGGTATGGTGAAAAAATCCATCAGAACCTTGATCACTGCAGGAGTTTGCACTCTTTCTCAATGGCCTTTAGCTGCTCGTCACATTGGTGAACGTCGGTTGCGAAGCCAGCTCAATCTTCTGGGGTGGCCAGTTGGTCGCTTGCTGCGCTTTGGTGCCAAAGCCTATGCACTGAGGAAATCATGGCAATCCAGATATGCTCCATGGCGTGAGGTGCGAGAACCAGTGATCATTTTGGGTCCTGACGCGCATGCCTCACTGACCAATACGGGCTACTTCGTCAAGTCAGTTGACACTGGACGATGTTTCTACACTGATGACATCGTGGTGCCTGAAGTTCAACAACCAGCAGTGGAAGATCAGGTGCTCTATCTTCCAGAACGTCTTGACGATGCTCCACAACGACGTCACAGGACAAAAGCTCCGCTGCCAGCAATTTCAATGTTGGACATTGAGGGGGAGGAGAAGATTGTGAATCGATTCCCTGAAATGTTTGAACCAACAACACCTTCACATCATGGGGGCTCAAGTGATAGCTGGTCAATGTGTACTGTCACATCTTCGCATGAAAGCAGCTGGACTCCAAAATCAATTGAAGTTGAGGAGGAGGGCTGGTGGATCGGAGGTGGGGATGAGGAGGGGGCGCCTAATAGTCAGGATGGTGGCTCACGCCTGACAGCCTCAAACAACGCAAGCATGACCAATCCAGCTGCACTGAGAGCCTTGCACGTCAATTTGACGCACTATGTCGAGGACGAGATGGCGGTGTTGGATGGGACAGCTGCTGAACAATCTTTGTGGCTTGGCAATGTGACAGAAGCCATCAAGATGAAAGCCATGATTGAAGAGCAGCTGACAGAAGCGCAAGCACATGATGCTGGCGAAATTCAAAAGAAGTTGGAGCAGGAGTTCCTGGTGACGAAGACGATCGGCAATGCTGAAGTTTGGGCTGATCTGGATGCTTGGAGCGACTCAATACGTCAAGAATATGATCAACTTGTCAACAAGAAACAGGCCGTCAGGCAGATCACAAAAGCGCAGTTGCAACAGATGGCAAGTGAAATGAAGCTGCCAATTGAAATACTGCCTGGCAAGATGGTCCACACTCGGAAGTCAGGCAGCGGTGCTTACAGAAGCCGTGCGGTGATCTGCGGAAACTATGCCGGCCCTGACAACAACGAGCACTACGCAGGAGGTGTGGACGGGCAACAAGTGCGGGCGATGGTGCGACTGGGTGCTTTGAAGCAGTGGCAGATTGGATGCACAGATATAAGAACAGCATTCTTGAACGCACCAAGGCGTGACACCAAACGCCTAATAGCCATGGAGATCCCGTCGGTGTTCCGGAAGCTTCAATTGGCAGGACATCAAGACCTATGGTTGGTCGACAAAGCTCTATACGGGCTTACCACATCGCCCAGAGACTGGGGACTCCATCGTGATGAAGTTCTGCCTACTGTCAGCTGGTGCCGACAACGAGAAGGTCGTGATGTGCGGGGATCCTTCAAGAAGACACCAGATGAGAACATCAGGAGGATCGAAGAGGTCGATACGATCTCGGGGGAGGTGCACTGGACCGGCCTGATGTCAGTGTACGTTGATGATCTGCTTTTTGCAGCTGAAAGTGGAGCTCTTGATGCTTTGACAACAGCGGTTGAAAAAGTTTGGGTCATCTCTGACTTGGAGAAGACGGGGGAGGGCAAGATCGTCAAGTACTGCGGCTTTGAGATTGAAGCTGCACCCAACAATGATGGTTACGTGATCAGCCAAAAGAAGTATGAGCAAGAGATCGTGAAGCGCTTTGGCATCACCCAGGCAACGGACTTTCCACATGTCAATCTTTCAGAAGATGATGAAGTTCCAAGTGGAGAGATCAAAGAGTCTGAGGTGAAGCTTGCGCAATCAATGGCAGGTGCCCTACTTTGGCTGACAACCAGAACAAGACCTGACATAGCCATGACGGTCTCCTCAGCCTGCAGACTTGCTACGAAAAATCCATGCAAGTCGGTGGAAATCTCCAAGGCGGTGATGCAGTATGTGCTCAAAGTTCAAGGTGGTTTACACTACCCTCAGGGCGTCCCAAAAGAAACATGGGGCAAGAGGGGACAGTTGCACATTGAGCGACATGATCGCCTACTTGAAGTTTTTGCAGATATCGCCTATGGCACCGGCAGTCGCCATAGAAGTCTTCAAGGCCTGGCAGTATACTTTGCTGGAGCTCCGATCAGTTGGGTGTCGTCGCAGCAGCCATTTGTGACGTATAGCACGGCAGAAGCAGAGCTTGTGAGTTACTGCGAAGCTCTTTGTGCAGGTCGTGCAACTGAAGCTTTGATCTGCTCGATGCTCAAGGAGCCAGTGGGCCAGAATTCTCTGGAGCGCGTCATTTATGGCGACAACATGGCCGCAATCTCAATGGCGCATGGAACTGGAAATGCCACGTGGCGAACCAGGCACTTGCGAGTGAGATCTTCTTTCCTCAAGGAGGCCTTGGATGGCGTAGCCCCAGATGGTGCTTGGAAGCTGCTACATCTTCGTGGCACGGAGTTGGTGGCGGACGGGCTGACTAAGCCATTGGCCGGTCAGGCTTTCTTCAAGTTTGTGGATGATTTGGGCTTTGCTGGAGCGAGAGCAGAGAACTCCAACGAGGAGCCCATGGAACATGCAACAGGTGGCGGAGGAAACTATGCAGTGATCAGAGCTATGGCTCTTGGAAGCGTGCTCTTATCAACAGCTGAAGGTGCGTCTGAGGAGAATGATGCTGGCGAAGATTTTTCTTTGATTTGGACGACTGGGCTTCTTTTGGTGGCTATGGGGGCAGTCTATGCAGGGCAACTTTTTCATAGTGCTACGAAGTGTTGCCTGAAGAGACTGCGAGAGTCCAAGGAGTCGGGTCATAGACCAAGTCTGAGGAGGTTGTCAGCGGAGTTGTCTGAAGAAGAAGACATCATGATGGTGTCAGAAGAGACCAAAAAGAAGAACAGAAAAAATGGTGGCAAGGCAGCGGGAGTGATGTCGCGAAGTCGAGATCAAACTCAAGAAGCTGCTGGATCATCTTCGAGGCCGATGACATCATCGACCCCTGAGCAGGGTCCTCCTACATCACGACCTTGCTCTATGTCCATGACTTTGAGGCAACGGTCGGGCACCGCTGAGCGAGCAGCGAGCGCTGCGGCTTCTTCGGCAGCTGGCGCGGCAGCTTCACCTGCGGCTTGTGCGGCGGCTTCATTAGCAGCTGCGTCTTCGGCGCTGAGCGATGCTGCTGTGGTGATGGAAGCTTCAGCTGCTGCGGCTGAGCGTAGAGGCGCTGACGGAGTCAGCAAAGACATAGTGAATCCATGGAACCGTTTCCAACATGAGAACCGGCGAAAGGGCTGGTCACCATCTGTAATGGCTGAGATGTACCGAATCAGCCATAAGACAGGCAACACAAAGCCTTGAGCCTGCAACTTTTGAGTTTGCCGAAATGGCAAAGGGGGAGTCTGAAAGGGACTTCAAATGTAGTATCTGTTCTTATCAGTGCGACCATTGATTAGGCAGTGCATTTACCGATGTATCCTGAGGCTTTTTGCGTCAAGGAAAATAAGGGCGAGTGTCCTTAAGAGCTCAGAAAGAGTCCTCCATGTTCACCACTGATTTTTCCTGGGACCTACTGGGAATGGGAATATTATGGGGATATCCGGATATCCTAGTGACTATACCCTCTGGTAAACTAACATAGCTATTGAAAATGGCCATCTATAGTGGATTTTCCCATCAAAAATGGTGATTTTCCATAGCTATGTTAAATTACCAGAGGGTAGTGCAAATTTCAAATTGAGACGAGATCACACTGAGTTTGGCCCAGTCGAAGTCTTAGACTCCAGTCTTGGCACTATCTTGGCACCATGTCGCCAGGGTGTTGTGACCGTGGAGGGTCTTCAACCGTTTCTTGCAACTCCATCCTCCAACGCGTTTGAATGGATGGCCCGGTCCCTGACATCACAGGGATGGAAAACATCGAAAAGGATTCAGATGGAAGATCTAGGGAGAACTCGGACACTCTCATCCACTGGTCCATCATCATTTCCAAAACTTAAAAATGACATAATGTGGTATCAAATGAGCATATGGTGAGGGTAAATGATGGTTAATTCCTAATTTTGGTGGGTAAATCCATGTAATTCCCAAAATTTCAAACAAACCAATTTATATAGCTTCAAATGATATTGACTGATATTCAATGGCCATTTTGAATCACCAATGGCCTGGCTTTCTTCTCGCCTGAGGCGCTTAGCAGCTTTGCCTTGGAAGTGTGTCACAGCTCCCAATGTTGGGAAACACTGGGAGGTGATCCAACACCTGGGTGGCCATTTTTGATTGGGAAAATATAGGAAAATGATGACGGGCCAATGGATTATTTAGAGGTACCCTAGTTTCAGGCAAACCCAGCTGATCCTGATGATACAACACCTGATGATTATAATAGATGTTTTCTTTAGATAGTCTCAAATACATTCTATAATGATGTTCTAATGAGGACACCTCAGGAAACCACAGAGTGGATATTGCAATCGCGCTCGTGAGGAAGATGGGACAAGATCGTTTCGCACTGACCCAGCTGAGGTCGTTTGCATGCTGACCAAGCACCTGAACGAATACAAGAAGGATCCGCCACCTGAGACAGGTCACCTGAGACAGGTCACCTGAGACATGTCATCCCCCAAACTTGATCAAACATCGTGGGATTCCCAAAAAAGAGTTGGGTAATTCCTAAAAGAGAGTTGGGTACCTGGTATAGTACACTTATGTAGTACACTTATGTACACTTTCACCATCATATAACCATCATATAACCATCATATAACCTTTATTAGTGGCTGGATACCCAATCCCCATTTTTTTTCCCAGCATCTTGTGGGTTACGAGCCCTCGGATCAAGCTGAGATCTTAAGCTGAGATGCGTTGGCTTATCCGGCTGCAGGCTTTCACTGAGTCAGTACACGAATTAAGCGATAGAAACGATAAATAGATATAAACAGAATCTATCTATGATATTCTATGATGATTTTTTCTTTACACTTTTAATTGTAATACAAAAAAAAGGATTAATTGTAGTTCATTATTGTGATTCTAATTATAATAGTTAAGTGATAACTCAAAGTCATTTGATCAGTGGCACGTGACACGTGACTAACCTCCATGACTGGATACCCGGGTGGATTCCTGGTGGATACCCTGCAGGACTCTCCATGAAATTCTTCCACGAGATTCATGGCTGGCTCTTGCGTAGCTTCAAGGAGATACAAGGGGCCACTGCACTGGGCCTCGAAAAACTGCGTGAAGTATCTAATCCTTCACGCGGGTAAAACCCCAGTGTTTCAAATTCAAATGGACTTAGTTCGTAGATCTATGATGATCTATGACATGAAAGTGCTTTGATACATATCTATGGGAGAACTGTGCAGAAATGCCAGGCTGCAAGGGTCAAGTCACAAAGTTTGTGTATCATTTTGTCATGTCCTTTTCCTCATGTCGTGTTTGATCACGCATGAAAAGCAGCTTGAAGCCTCACTGCAGGAGCGTACCCAAACCTCAGGTGTGGGAAACTGCGGTGCTGTTGACAGCTTCTGACATGTGGACCATTCATGGCATTAATCAGGATAATGATCATATGTATATATATAAATATACATATATGTGTATTTTTTTTGCTACGGCCTTTTGGGACTATGCAAGTCGCGGCGAGCAAAGCTTGAATTCATCTGTACTGGGCCTCTGTCACCTCGTTGCTTTATGTCTGTGATGATGGCTGAAGTCTGGGCCGAAGTGCTCCCCAAATTTTATTACATGCATGGAGCGGCATCTGGCCAGAAACGCTTCATCAATCACAGTTTCCATTCGGAAAGGAGCCTGCAATAGGTGATGGGCAAAGCTTTCCCCAAGCGCACGGTTAAGTGCTGGGGGATATTCTTTTAAACTGGATGTAGCCCATTGGCCATCCTTGTTTTTTCCAATCGCTGCGCTCCTCGGAAGATCGGGACACAAGCGATGGCTGTGCAAAAAATTTGGCAAACTGCCCATATTGAGGGTGAGCAAACGCGTGGGTTTGGGAGTCTTTGCTCCCAAGAGCCCCTGTGCAAAATCCACGAACGCAAACCCCGGCAGTTGCCTCAAAAGTTGGATGATTGGCAATCTCCAGATGGAGGGCTTACTTTCATCAGCCGGCTCCCCTGGATGTTCGAGAACCCCCAGCCCTTCAGAGCGCGCCAGGCAGATCAGTAGATCAATGGAGAAGAGCAGCAGCGCGTTGCCAATGTCCACCTGTCCCATCTCACGCAAAGAAAGCGAAGGAAGCCCCCATAGCCATTCCAGCGAACGCAAAGGTCTAGGCTGCCTTCCTTGTTCTCCTCCAAGGTTCGCAAATCTGGCCTGACTCCAAGTTTCACAGGGAGGACCGCATAGGCCACCTTGCACAAAGCCATCCAAAGCCCCACGTAGCCAGAAGTCTCTGGTCTCTGCACGACAAGCGTCTCCCCAAGCAGGGTCAATGACCACGTCCATTGATACGACATGCAAGAGAACACCTTCGGCTTGACGCGCAAACGCCGCCTCCAAATAGTGTTGGAGGTCCCCCGGTCGACGACGACCCGAAAACGCGTGTAGAAACACACGCTCCTTGCCCAACTGTCGGTGGACTGGCTGGCGTCCTTCCAAGACATGGGCTGCACGGATCTTCTGGTCGATCTGGTCCAGGTTTGGAATGGCCGCCGGTGTGGCGCACTGAAGCTTGTCCAGAAAGGGCCAGGCTTCTTCTCGGACTAGGCTTCTCAATACCTCCGTGCAAGTCTGTAAATGCGTAGCATCAACATCCAGAGATCCCTCAGAGAGTTGCCGCAAGACTTCCAAGAGGGTCTGTTTGCATTTGGTCCAAGAGATAGGAAATTGTTGAACGCTGGCTCTCACGTGCTCCTCATAAGAGGCCGTGTCCACCTCCAGGATGCCCAAGGTCACAGACTCATAGAGCGCATGATGTTCGGCATCAAAGTCGCGCCCTTGTACTTCAGGAAGTTGTGGCCCAGCTGCCGGCATTGGAGGAATGCGGTTGTCCCATTGCAACAGACGTGCGGTGTCTTCCTGCGAGCCCAGTCCTGGTTGAACTGGTTCGCAGTGTCCCCTTCCAATCAGGGAAGTTCTGCACGCATCCGATCGCAAAAGGTGCATCTTCAGCTTGCCCATAGTATGGTATTCTCTCAGGCACACGCCACACTGAGTACTGCCCATGAACCTTCGAACTGGATGCACTTCTCCATGAACTCTGTGCATATGCGCACCTTCTCCTCCAAGGGATCGGCAGGCTTTGCGGCACTGCATACAGCCATAGGCTTGCTGGCTGGTGCGTGCTTGCCATGGGATAGGTTCATCTTCTTCCACAAAGCCTCCCTTCTTCAGGCTGTCCATGAAACCCACATGAGCGGTTGCAATGCGGAATTCTCTCTCCTGTACACCGATCGAGTGTTCCGTGGCTCGACGAAGGAGTCTTTTCCAATAACCTCTATGGTATTGGATGATCTCCAGCCACCTCGGTAGGTGTATGCTTGGATCACCGAGATTGCAGCTGTGATGGAGTTGATGCCAAAGCCAGCGAAAATCGTCCTGCACCAGTTCGAGCCATGCCTGGTCTTGGTTGAGAAGTCCCCAGCATGCTGTGGCCTCCACTGCAAAAAGGGAGCCTAAATACCGAAGCCTGCGAATGCGCAACAGGGTGGACGGTGATGGCATGCGAGTTTGCACCAAAACTTCTTCATCCGATACCGGACAATGTCCTGGGCGATGCAAGAGTCGTTTCATGAGACCGATGATACTTCCATGTAGGTATTCCCTCGTCTTCTGATCTGGGAACGTCCAGGTCTCAGACCCATAGAGCAAGCGGCTCAGGATCAAGCTTTGGAAGAGCTCCTTCTTCTTCTCCATCTGAAAATGTGGGTTGTGATAAAGCAGTTTGCGATGACGATTAAATTCTTGATGGGCCTGCCCCAACCGTGCTTTGATCTCTTTCTTCAACTTGGTGGAGAAATGTACCTTTCCTCCCAGGTGGGTGTACTCTGTCACAATGGGGACTTGATATGGATGGTGCTCCTCCAGAATGAACAAACGTCCATCTGCAAGTGGACCAAACAAGTTGCGCTTCCATTGGACTGTGCCCGGGCCTCTGGGTGTGATCAGCACAGCGGTCTTTCCAGGCTGTAGATTCGGCGTCATGGCATAGCTCTTGAATATGTCTAAAATCAGACCTGTTGCAGTTCCTAAGGCCGAATGTAGTTCGGCATTGTTGTCCGCTGTCAGACAGATGCAGAGGTCATCCATCCAACAAGGTCCGACAAAAGAAAGGGAGCCTGGAGGCGGATCTCCTGCAAATCGCATGGTATCCTCCTCCGGGAGCTGCATCAAAAGGCCTTGTGCATCCATTGCATGTTGGAATTTCTGTAGCACTTTTGCCATGAGAAATCCAAAAATGACATCAGCGAACGAATCGCCTGGTCTGGTGCCGATCTGCGTGACAACCTGGTCTTGCTGGGTGGGCAGCTTGAAAAACGTATCTGTGTGCAATGCTCTGATGGCCCTTCTTAAGTGACTCGGAACTCCAGCTTCTGCGAGCGCGCACGGCTGCTGCAGTGCTCGACGCAGGTCATGCAGAAACCCCTCATCCAAGTCAATGCGTGCCGCCATTGCCGCAATGGAAGCATCATCAATGGGGCCGTCAACAACCAAGGGACGAAGCACCCGATAGAATGCTTCTTGCAAATCAATGAACAAGAGTGCTGAAGGTCGACCTTGTCGTGCGCAGAGTCTTTGAAAGGCACGGACTTGATGGCCGCCCAGTGTGACAGGAACGCCACGTCGTCCTCCCAGCTGTTGACTGTGCAGGAAGCACTGGTAGAGATCCAATTGTTTTGTACGTACTGCCTTGTGCATGACTTTTCCTAGGCATGAGGACAAAAGGATCGAACGGAAAGCGGAGCACTGATCCTTCAACTGTTTCCCTTTCCATATGGGTAGCAGAATGCCACAAGTGCTTCTTGACCATGTGTGCAGGTTTTTAGCATCAAACTGTAAAGGTGCAAGGCCACCGCATTGGGACAGTATTTACATACTTCCGAGGGTATGGCATCGAGACCAGTTGCTTTTCCTGCTGCTGATGCCCGGCAAGCAAATTCCAGATCGCAAAGCGACGGCACCTCTTCCACAGGGATCATGACCTCCTCTTGCATGAAGGACACTAGGTTGTCTCTCCATTGGGTCCATTGATCCTTGTTCTCGCATCGCTGTCCGCCCTCCATATCTCCAAAGAAAGTGATCCAACGCTGGAGTGCATCTTCAGCTGTACGGCAAAACTCTCCTTTGGCATCCTTGATCAGAGGAAGTGGGGCCAGAACCTGCCTGAATTTATTGCTGGGTCCTTTGAAGGGCTTCAGCATTTGTTGAATTTTTGATGCTGGAGTGGAAGGTTCAATTTGCTGCAGCACTTCTTGAAGCTTCTGTGATCGGCTATGTTGCACATCGCGTCTCAGTTTGGCTGAAATCACTGAAAATTGAATGAAACGGTGCAAACTACCAATACGAAGTGATGTGCCATAATTGAAAGAAAGATCAGAAGTGTCAACGTGGCCTTGTTCCGTCTTCCAAGCGGCAAAGGTGCGTGCCAATGCTTCTCTACGCAAGAGACTACGACACATACGAAGCTGTCTTCGAAGCGAGTTTTTGTGTGTTCTCAATTGCCACAAGGTTTCTGAGACGTAGGGTTTTTTGGGGCCATGTTGAGATCTTCTGCAATGAGACGCTAGTTGCGAATGGAAATGTGCAGCGATCTTTTGGGCTTGGGTCTCTACATCATCATTCCAATCACAATTGATAGCTCGACCCAAATGACTTGCAATGTCTTTTCCAATTCTGGTGCGGTCCATGGCATATCCAGCATCTTGGGTGTGGATCTTTACTGGGACACTGTGTGTCCACTGGATGTCGACCGCAACTGCAGAATGGTCCAGATTGACATTTGCCAAATCAAAGTCAGTGAGGACACACGATTGAGTACATGCTGCCAGCCAGTCTCTAGGGACGGCGACATAGTCAATTGTGTATTCTTCATCATCAGGCGATGTCCAGGTGGTGACGGTGCCTTGATGGATATCACTGGTGATGGGGAGGCATAATTGAAAGTCTTCCAGAAATTCTCGTAGAAAAGAAGTCCCGCTCGAATGGCGGAATCCCTCCTTGAAAACTCCAATTCCGTCTGGAACACCTGGCGCTGCATTAGCATCGATACAAACAAACAAAGGTTCTGCTGCGATAAGGTATTTATGCAAGATACCTGTCGTTTCTTCCCACCAAGCTTGGCGTTCCCGCATGGCAATGCCGCTCTGCGGTGCATGCGCCACCAGGCACCAGGAGGAGAAATGAGCATTATGGATGTGTACTAACAGGCGGCGCGGATCTCGATGTGCCACATGAAAGTCTTGGGGTCTGAAAAGCAGTGCAGTCTTTTTGATGTGAGCAAAGGGCTGTTGAAGATTTACCCACAATTCGACTCCCCATTTGCCGTGCGCCTGCCCTGAGCACAACCTCAACACTCCTTGCTTTTTCGAAACTCCTTCTGAGGAACGTGATTCTTGTACTCCCATGATGTTCAAGTTCTGCGCTGTGAATTGCGCGCGTAGATAATCCAGCTTGCCTGCAAAACCTTGGTCAGCCGCTCCCAAGGATTGGACGTTCGCAGTGGCAATGCTGAGTTTATAACTCACGCTCTTGACAATCTTGGGTTCCGGGGGTTCACTGGCAGCAGGCGGTTCAACATGCGGAGGCATGGGTGCTCGGATATCAAAACCCTGACCTACAAAAGAAGGGAGCCCATGGCCTTGATCAAAGATCATCCAGAGAAATGGTATCTTCGGCAACAATTTACGAAGATCAATTTGTGGTCGCGGCAAGAAAAAGCTGGATCTCGCTTCTTGCTTGGCTAAGGAGTCAGCCATCTCGTTCCACGGCTCATTCATGTGACCAAAAACATGATCAAGCGCAACGTCGTCCCTGAGGGCCGCTTTCAAGATTTGATAGCATCCTCGCAGAGTCTGAAATGATTGGTCACAGTGCGCAGGACCTATTGAGCCATCCGCTTGGCCTATGGCAAGGAGAGAGTCGCTACGGAACACTGTCGGCAGACAGCTGTCAAAGCCTATTCTCCAAAGGAAGGCCCAAGTGAGCGCTTCCCTCTCGGCAATGGCTGATCCCACATGAGTGGCCCCTAAAAACCATGGATGGTCATCGCTGTACCTGACTTGGTGCGCATGCCAACCCAGAAGGGTGTACTCAAACTGGCCATGGTCCAGAGCAGTTTCCCCTAGCACTACAAAGCTCCAAGCGTCCGGTACATCAATTTCTTCATTCTTGGCTGGGGCAATGTGTTTGTGACGTGATTGGGACGATCCATCAACATAGACGATGATTCTATCAAACACTGTGTGCTGATGCAGACCAGAGATGGCTTCCCGGGTCACTTCAGGCAGTGTCAGTCCCTCCGTGATACGGCATAAATAATCGTTCTCACAATGAAAGAACCCTTGCAAATCAGTCTCATGCAACCCGAGGTCCAAGAGGCAAGACGGCAGCGTCATGGAGGTCTGACCTTCCCACATGGGTCTGTGCTTGGAACGATCTCCTCTTGGACCTTCCGGCCAAGGTCTCTGCTGCTTGTCTATGCCTGATGCTTGCGCTGGAATGCTGTCTGCCTGCTGAAAAAGGACTTCCACAAAGGAAGAGTGAACGTACCTACGTCCTTGAATGACCGCTTTCTCATATCCAAATTGATGGAGCAAAGCCATGAGCTGGACCTCTGTCGTGTCTTTCTGGTCAGTCAAGGTCAAGAAGGCCGATCGGTCGTCAGGGAATGTCTGCATTATGTCTGTGAAAAGCAGCAACAATTTGTCTTCATCAAATGGCCATGTCACAGGAATGCAGATGGCTACTGTGGAGTTGGCTGCGAGTGCAAGCTGACATGAGTGTCCAAAGCAAACCAGTTCTCGATGCAACCCCTCAATCGAAGGAGGACTCCGGATTGTCACATAGGAAGGGACTTGTTCACGCAGATCTCCCAATCCTATGAGTCGAATGGGTGTGTCTGGGGCAATGCCATCACTGAGACTCTCTGTCATTTGCTCGGACGTATCCAGCAGGCTGTGCAGTTGCAGCAAAACGGGTCCTCACCCCCAGACATGAAATGCACTGGATCAGAAGTCAGTGGGATCTCATTCCATCTGTGAAAAATCTGACATCGATGATCTTGGCATATTTGCTGAAACGCAAGTTTACTGACTATCCAGTTCCCGCTAACCTGAGGGCGGAAGGAAATAGCTGCAGCAAATTGTGGAAATGTCGGGTCAGCAGGCGTAGGGTGAACAGAAACCAAACCAGAGAACCTATGTGCATCTAGCCCTTGTGACAGAATGAGGTCAAATGCAAGGTACTGCTCATGTGTCGCTCGGAAAGGTCTTGGCTTGACAACATGAATTGCGACCGTCTCAAATGGCACAATGCGATCAAACCAAAGAGCCAAAATCTGAGATTGCCACATGTGTGGTGGTCCGGCAAGGTGCAGGAAACGGGCAATCCTAGACATCCGACGATGAATATGATGGACGTACCAAACCCTGACCACTAAGTCTTGTTGAGCCCTGTCAATATGAAACCTGTCGGCTTGCAATTCTGCTAACATTTCAAAGGCAAACGGTGGTGTGATCACCGGTACACCCGCAAAGGTCGGAATTGCAACCGGGGTCAATTGCTGGCCTGTCTCATTACGCTGATCGGGCGACCCGTGGCTGGGTTGGTCACTCAAGCGATGGTCATGTGGCCTGCCAAAATATATGCTCTGCACTGAACCAATAGGGCATCTCCTATTTGGCAGCCTCGAGATGGAGAGCAAGCTTTGAGCTTCAGTGTCAGTGGGGACATGATAGGTCTGTACAGGCAGATGCCTCATTAGCACATCAATGCTCATACCGCTGCGGCCGGGGATGGGTGCTCCCGGGCGCATGCTCAAATCCTTGTACCAAGCAAGGCAGGATACTGCTGGCACATTGCCAAAACATGCTTCCTCAATGCCCAAGACTCTCGTGAGATGGTCGACCAGAATGTGCTCATGCGTTGTGATGGCCATTTGATAAGCGACCGATTGCAGTGCTCGTTCATCAAACAGTGTAACTATGCTCGATACCCACGTGTCAATGGGTCTCTGAATGATGATAACATGGGCAGCGATTGTTCTGTCAACTGTGTAGGGCATTGGTGTGACAAGTTGGAACTCGAGCTCTTGACCTAAGATCACTTGGTCGTGCCAAACTTGCCACAATTGTCGTCGCCAATCATACAAATCTTGCTGTAAGTTGACGCGTCGTGGCACATGGCCATGCGGGTGTGGCCCTTGATGATCAACAAACCAGACCAAGACTGAACAAGAGCGTTCTTCACCCTCCCACGCAGTGGCGATCTGGTTCCAGGCCTCGAAGAGGTCTTGGATGAACTCATCATGTGCGTTCAAGTCCCATGGGATACCTGGAACGAATGCTGGTGCATCTGCATGAAATTGGAAAGGAGTGCTTTCGTGGGCTTGCTCTGGTAGGTTGATGCCACGGGACCTCGGTGTCCGAACTGGCCAATTGTCACACACGTGCATTAAGGAAGACACGTCATTGTCATCTGAAATTGGCTCATCGCTTGGCATGTGGCGTCTGAGTGGAGGCGGTACAAGATCCCAGTTCACAACATGCAAGTCGAAATGTGCTCCATTAGCTGGAACCAGAGGGTGCCGTTCTTCAAGCGACTCACTTCCCAAGAAACCTACACACAAAACCGACCTTGTTTGGCATTCATGCTGGAAACCAGCATAACGGAGAAGGTCAGCCAAAGCCACTTGCCGAGACGTCACAACTGCGCTCGTGTGGTGAAAATGGGACATTTCGTCATGAAGGAATGAGCTAAGCAAAATCCCTCTCTGGTCGTGGTCAATCCCTTGGTGCACAAGGATGTGATGCAACTGGTCGTGCTCACTTCTTGGATGTGCAACACTAACTTCAAAGGGGTGACCCGGCTGAATTTTATCCCTCCAAAGAGCACGAATTTGGCTATCCCAATTGTGTCTTTGAGGGAAAAGCACAAGTGAACGTGATTGATGACATGTTGTCCATAAAGGATCATGTACAAACCATGTGGTGAAGCTAACAGCGGCTTCCTCATCCGAAACAGCGAAAACTGGGGACAATCTGTGCCATGTCTCATAGAGGTCATCCAAATGCCTACCATCAACCGCCTCAATGCGTGGCATATGGTCCGGATTGGCAACAGGAGTCTCATACGGACATGCTGACCTATCACTCGTGCTGTCACCCAAGAGGCGTAGCAAGCGTGAAAGCGTGGTCTGAAGATGATCCGACTGTATCTTTAATTGTCCCTGTGTGACGCGTGAGCTGTGATGAGGCTCCCCCCCAATGGCTTGGAGAAAGTTGGTCACATCATCGCGTTCTTCCTCATGCCTCTGGAAAATGTCGCCTGCACTAGCAGACTGAACATGACCCCTGCAATGCGGTGGCTGTATGTGCAGTTCAATGCTAATGGCAGTGTATACATCGTGTCTGATAAACTGTTCAAAATGCTGTATGCCTGCCATAGCTGTGCATCGATTAATGTCACATACATGATTGATTCTCAAAAGGTCAATGATGTCATTGGCGCAGAGCCATCTTGGAAGAGAAAATGCTTTTTGATCTACACGATCTCCATGTGGGCCGTGCAGGAACGTGGTGATGAGTCCTGCTACAACCGCTTCCCGAGGATGCTGTTCAACCATCAGATGAATGGTATCTATGCGGAATCTGTCAGTCCAAGGGCGAGGTGAGACAATGTTGATGTGCGTAAGCGCATCCCTTTGGAGCATCTGTGTCCACGGTGCCAAGATGTCGTCCCACCATTGATCAGATTGCGTCGTCAATCGTACCGCTGCTGGTTCACGGCACATTGTTGTCCTCTGATGATTGATGAACCATGTCCAGACATAAAGCACTTGACCTTCTTCTTCCATTTCAGTCACTGCATTCTGTTCAAAATAGTCGGTGAGCTGGTCTCGCCAAAGGTCATCCAATCTGCTGGGCATTGTCCTGGAAGTTGTCAGTGGAGATGGAAGGACATCTGAATGGGCAAACTGTTCATTCGAGGCACTTGTCCTTGTCGGTGTCGAGCCTGTTTGCATCATTATGGTCGAGTCTGCCTCGTGCATTTGCTCCATGGGCATGATGGCAAGAATGTCGCCTCCTCCATCGTGGTTCTTGCGGGGAGCATCGTGTTTGCTAGCACAAATGGCGACATCACATTTGCGACATCTTTGCAGGCCTCTCCCTGGCGCTTTGGCTATGGAAAGGCACGAATATCTATACGTACTGCTGGCTGGATCTTGGCTTTGTTGTGCACCTTGCCTACAGCTTCAGCACAGCCAGTTCGACATGTTTTGCACTCCAGTTGCACTAGCAACACTGTTTGCGATGTGTTGCAGATGCACTTGAATTCAACTGAATTTACTGTCACTGACCTTTTTGCATGTTCAGCGACTCTAAACTGCGTGGGTACTACCCAGGCGAGCAATCTAGACTTTTCTCAGAGTCACGCGTACCATTATTTTTATGCATCATTCGATGAAATCAGAAGTGATCAGAAGTGGAACACGCACTTTTTGGTCCCATTAGCAGCCCTGCTTTTGTTTTGTGGCACCATTGGATGTTACGCAGCAACGCCGGGACAACGGAAAAGGAAGAAGAAAAAGAAAAAGCCCAAGAGGAAGAAAGGAAGCTGCCTGATTCCCACACTGAAGGGATCAGTTGGCAAACGTTGTTTTTTCCCTGCCAGGTTTTGCAAAAAAACAGAGGGTCAAAGCAGCAAACACAAGAATTCGGCGCTTTGCACAGCGCTGTTGGAGCAAAAGACTGAAACCCAAATATGGCTGTTACAGAAAGAGACCTGTATACAATCATGCAGCAATTTGGACGAAACTCTCCGGTGGCCATGGAGGGGCTGGTTCTTTTGCAACAAGGAAAAGAAGAGAAAGAAAGGAGCAGCAGGTCAATCTGGCCGACATGCTGCAACAAACCTTAAACCAATGGATGCAAACACAGAGGGCACCCAAAAGACAGAAGGGTCCCGATGACACCATGCACCAAAATGCTTCTTTACTTTCTTTGCTTGAAAGTACTCTAGCAGATTGCCGTGCCCGTTGCGATGATGACATGGAAGTTGCACAAGCGGTGCAACAAGCCCTCAATGGTCATCAGAAACAGCAGCAAACGTTCTATCCAAGCAGCGCTCCTCCAAAGTCTTCCAAAGCTGACTCAGCTTGGTGGAACCAGACTGGGAATTACACTGAGAAAAGAAAGCCATGGAGTTACGCCAGCAATGAGTGGTGGTGGGAGGAAGCAGAAGCAGATGTCTCAGCCCACCAACAATGGCAAAATGACTATGTCTATCACCGTGACTGGTATCAGCAGACAGCCACACAATCGAAAGTCTATCCAAGTATCACAGAACTGAGAATTTCCGAGTGGACCATGAAACCTGTTCTGATCCATTTGCAGACGCTCAAACAAAATCTCACGACTGGTGACACGATCGTGGGAAACATTATGCATATCAACACCAAGGCACAGCTGGAAGAGTTGCAGAGCTTGATAGATGCTCATGCATTAAATGGCAGTATGACTCTGATCCTCACTGATGAGGCCAAAGATACACCTGGTGCTTATCACACGCGTGTAACGGCCAAAAAGAAGAACCAAGTTAGCCGCCAACTTGATGTTTCGCTGATGGACGCAATCACAGGTTCCCGGGGACCATGGACGTTGCCTCCAGTTGAAATCATACAAACACAAGTCACAGCCATAAAGAGGGTTGCAGTGCGGCTGACAGCTGCTTCGCACTTCCGTGCCTACCTTCACAGCAGTGGCTACAAGGACACTCCAAACTCCGTGCTAGCAAGCGTTGCTAGCTTGCACCCTGACATCAAGGTCAGTCAGATATCTGGTGGAAAGTGGTGGTCTGAGACCATTCAGAGCAAAGTATTCTTGAACACAGTAATCCAGCTTCCCGTTGCTACTGCTGACCAGCTAGTGGCCCGAAGCGGAGAAGAAGGTGTCTTCGCATGCAAGCTTGGCGTGCAACATAATGACCAAAAAATCTTTTGGTTCCCCAGAGAAGGAAAGGAAAGTGATGAAGCATACCACCGTCGCCTTTTCACCATTGCGCAGTCGCGCAAAGAGGGGTTAAAGCTCAGGAAAGGTGGATCCAATGACTTGGGCCTCTTTGCATCGCCGCAAGACACAGCGGCCTTTGCCAGCAACTTCAGCCACTGGTGCGCCACTGGCTTTCCGCATGACTGGCAGCAGGAAGAGGTTCTTCAGTTTCTTCAGGAGCAAAACTGGGAAGAACCATGTATATTAAGTAGACAAAGCCAACGAAAAAGCAGACAAACTAGTTGGTGGATCAAAGCAAAGTCCCCCCAATCGGGATTGCCTTCGCAGACAGCTTGGGAATACCGAATTCCACCATCCACTAGAATATATATCCACAAAGCACCTCAAAAGGCACAGGCTTGTAAAGCTCAAGCTGTGCCAGGCCCTCGCAAACAATGGCGAGATGACCAGTCCGTGCCAGGGCCTCCAAGAACATTACGCGCACAAACACGCGCTGATGATGCCCCAGCGCGAAAGCGTAGTCTTAGCCCTGCAGCATCGGACATGATTGATGCAACCCAAATTGATCCAGCCACTCCGGAAGTGCCATCCCCGCCAAAAGCAGTGTCTGAATTGGAAGCCTTACTTCACGCAGGGTGGAAGAGACATGAGTGCGGGGGCGAAGGAGACTGTGGATACTTAGTTGTTTCGCAAGGGCTGGAACTCAATAAAAATGGGCAGTTTCTGGATGCCGAAACTGCGCAACGAAACGCATCCAATCTTCGTGCAAGTGTGTTTCAACATATTCGCAAACCTCAACACTTGGCTCGATACAGTCAGTTCTTTGCAAGCGATCCTGCCTCAGGAGAAAAATTTGATTCATTTGAAGCATGGATTCAAGCCACCTCCAAGAAAGGTGCTTGGATTGATGGTATGCAGATTCAGGCAATTTGTGAAAAGACAGGAACTGTTCTGATCCTGTGGAGTTGTGATGTCCAGAAGGATGGCACGGAAGTCTGGCAACGTTACACCCATGCTCCACGATTTTCAAAGGGTATCGCATGCCAAGCCAAAGGTTGCCAACCAATCGCAGTGACGCTCCAAAGCGGGCATTACCAGTTGCTAATCCCACCAACTGGCACCAAATTTCCAGAAAGGTGGTTGCGTGAGACTGATATCCCGCCTTCTCAGAAACTAGCCGGTGCTGGCACGAACACTCCAGGGTCCACAAACCCTCGCAACAAAAAGGCAGATTCTGATGTCAAGCCAGCTTCTTTTGCGGAATCAGTGCCAAGCACCCCATCGGTACATACGTGTTTTTTCAGCCCAGATGGATCGCATAGTAAAAAAGCTAGCAGCAAAAATGTGCCAATCAAAGTTGCTCAGCAAGCCAAATCTTTCCAGCCTGACACTCCCTCGGTTCACACTGTGACCTTCAGCCCTGAAAGATCACCAAGTGAATCAGCCACAGGATCTAAAGCGAGTAAAAAACGTAGTCACACTTTTGTGCCCAGTATGTTGGACCTTTCCACCAAGAAGAGGAAAACCAATCCAGTGGTTTCCGCAACCGAGACGTGTGGTATTACTAAACGTGAGCCTTTTGTTCAGCTGCCCGACCTTATCTCTGTTTGGTGGACTTGCACGTGCGGTTTTCAGGTCTTGAAGCACAAAGACCTCACGTGTCATGGGCCGCGTCGCAAAAAACACTTAAATCAGGTTCACGGAATCCAATATTCTGACATGCCGCCTGACCCTCCGGGTGCTCCTGGTGAGGGAGTCCAGACCAAGCGGGAAGAAAGGTCCAAGCGGTGCCAAGCTTGGTTGCTGTTGGCAAAGAAGCGCGGGTGGGCAGGCATGCACATGAGCTCACACCTGTCAACATAGGCTGGCGCCGATGGAAGTGTCAAGCCTGCGATGAATCCTTCACCCATTGGAATCGGGGCGTGCAAACATTGTGTTCTGCCAGCAATGCCGCTGGTGGCTCCAAGTTGCCCAGCATTGCCAAACGATTGCAACTCGCCAATCAGTGGTGGGCTCAAACTCTGGAATCGATTGCAAAGGAGAGAGCGGAGAGCCAAGACCTTTTGAATCACTTCTCCTTTTTGAACAACCAAAAAAGACTTAGCATGGTAAATAGTTTATCATCCCCTCCCAAATTGTTTGGGGGCATTCCACTAATGCCATCCGAAGCTGATGGCGGTCACACAAAATTTTGGTGGTCGTGTTCACTGTGCGATTTCAAAATTTCCCTAGCTGAGCCATCTTCGGGCCGCTCGTACAAACGCAAAAACCACTTGCAAAAAGTACATGCCTGGCGTAAGGTCCCCCCAATCCCTAGGCAGGGTTTTGCTGTCCAAGCGGTCCAAACTTCTCAGTCCGTGGTCAAACAACGTTGGGAACACAGGGTTGCTGAATTCCAAAAAAGAGCTTGGGCCGGTGCACATGACATAGGAAGTAAGGCAGTTTGCGTCACTCTTTACACATGCAAATCGGGTAAAGTGTTACAGTACCCCCGATACCAGTGCAAGCGGTGCTGCCGAATGGTTACGGCAGGTGATTTGCCCATCTCTATTTGTTCCTCCCATCCTCGCTGCAGCAAGGCACCTAGTCTAAAGCGCAGAAAGCAAATTTGGCAGACATGTCTTAAGGTTGCTGCGAGACTTAGCAAAGTCGCTGATGGTGTTCGTGCAACACGTCGAGGGCACCGAGCCCAACGGATAGGTGAAGCTTCACACCCAGGTCCTTGTCCCGTCGTCAAGATGTGGAGCCAAAACATTCGTTCCTGGCACACCAATGGTATGGCCTGCTTGGATAGGGCTCAGACTGCAGGTATTTCGCTGGTGGCCCTACAAGAAATGAACATCACGTCAACCAATGCGCCGGCAGTCGTCAATGCATGTCTAAGGCACGGTTGGCAAATGCTGCAAGTCCCTTCTCCCCAAGGTACTTCCAACCGAGGGGGCGTCGCTATCTGCTGCCGTGAGCCACTTGGGTTAGTTCTTCTCGATACTTGGAGCGATCCTCAGGGCCAGTTTGTGCTGGCCGAAGTACACGGAGGAAATAAATCCTTTAAACTCTGCAGTTATTATCGCCATGCTGATGATGAAGATTTCCAAGGTCTTACCCGTATTAGCCAGACTCTGTCTAGTGACATGGACCAAGCTTGGATCGTAGCTATGGATGCCAATACGAATCAAATGGCTGGTACTTGCGCCACTCTGATGAACGAAATCAAAGGTTGCTGCCGGGCTCATGCTGGTCACAATTCCAGTAGGTTTCCAATCGACGGTATTTGGTCCTCGCTGGATCTTCGCCCGACTGCTGCCTTTTCATGGCAGCCAGGGGACGGAGATCACTCTTTAGCTGAAGTCCATTGGGAAGTCCAAACGCAAAAGCCTGGACGCCAACAGGTTTGCTCACACCAGGAAAATGGCTGAACAGAATTTTCCTTCTCAGCAGGAAGCGTGGGCTCTCAGCTGTACATCAGACGAGAGATGGACAGAGGTGCTCAGCAATGTGGACCAGGCTTGGCTAGTTTGGTGTCAAGATATAGAAACGTGGCTGACCCGCAATGGTATTTTAGACCAAGGTCGACCTGAACGGCCACTGGGCTCAGCGCCCAGGGTTCAAACCAGCACTCATGCCATGGGCCCTTTGCAGCCCCTTGCTGAGCGGAAGCTCCGTCGCTGGATTCGGCGTTTGCAAGAAGCTCGGAAGTTCAGTCACCTCGGGTACCAACTCAACCCGGGTTTGCAGAAAAAACTTGAATCCACCAGGGATGTGCCTGCTCCTGAAAAGCAGGCGGTCCGTCAAGCAGCTTTCGGTCTGGCAGAACGTTTAGCTCACGGCAGGCTCCAGGCTCTTCTTCAAAATAAATCTAGCCAAAAGTTAAACAAATGGAAAACTCAGGTCACAGACCACAGCGGCGCTTGCAAATGGGTTAAATTGACTGAGGTTGGATCTCCGGTTTTGCAAGATGAATCCGGTCAGATCCTCACTTCCAGACCAAGAGCTCTCGCTGCACTCCATACTTTTTGGTCTCGCACTTTTGGGGACTCTGCTTTGGACTCATGGGATCAGTTTTCTGAAGTTTTTCAAGAACATTTTCCCATGCCGGCCCAAACTGAAGCATTGCCTCCTATCACAGGCAAAGACATTATTCGCGTAGCCAGGAAAATGAAAGACAAAGCAGGAGGGCCGGATGGGATCACACCCCGTCACCTCACGTGTTTGCCACAACTGGCGATTGACAGGTTCGCCCAGATCCTTCAGACATGTGAAAACATTGGCCGTTGGCCCACGCAGGTGCGTCACTGGAAAATTTGCTTCCTGCCTAAGGCTACCACTCGAAAGGGAGTAGTCGCAGGTTTAGGGGATGTTCGTCCAATCAGTGTAGGCCCCACTGCCTACCGCATTTGGGCAGCCATCAGACTTCAGCACTGCAAATCTTTTGTGGAGGGTCTTCTGTGTCAAGATCAGGCTGGGTGCAATGGGTTAGCAGCGCAGGATTTGTTACTCACCATGGAAAACAAGTACCAAGCTCAGGATTGGCCATATGCCATGGCATTAGACCTGCAGAAAGCTTTCGATACCACCGACTGGACCGTGTGTCTTAAACTCCTCAAACACGCAGGTCTTCAGGCACCTATCCTTAAACTCCTGCAGGACCAATGGGACCACCACGAAAGGTGGCTCAGCTATCGCGGGGCAATTGATCCCGCCCCGCTCAAAAACACAGCCGGTCTCCCCCAAGGAGACCCATGGTCTCCAATTGCCATGAGCGCTCTAATGGCCGTTGCCAGTCGTTTCGTCCTCAGCCAGGAACCAAACGCCAGGTCCTTAATATATTTGGACGACAGGACATTAGTCGCCACAAGCCGACAGGCCTTGAACCAAGCGCTTCAGGCTTGGGAAGTTCTGTTCCAAAACACTCGTCTTCGCAATAACGCATCTAAACAACAATTCTTGCCACGAACCTTGGATGCTCGGGTCGAATGCCTGCAGCTTGGCATTCCCTTTCAAAATACGGCCAAAATTTTGGGTGTTTGTATGGGTTTAATTCCCCGTAGTAGGACTGAGGAGGAACAGAAACGTTCTGATAAAGTGGCACAGGTCGCTCGTCGAATAGCGCTCCTGCCCACAGCTAAGGCTTTCAGGAACTCGGTTGCAATCAGCGTCTTGGCGCCCACTGCCTCCTGGGGAGCTCTTTTCAATGGTCGGTGTCCGACAAAACAGGAATGCCAGGCCTATGCTCAGACCTGGCGATGTGCAGTTCAAGGTTTTGATCATCCAGGGGGCCACGACTCTCGTGACCTCACAGCTGTAATGGCTATGGGCCACTGTTCTGACCTTTTGTTTCTAAGTACCCAACGGTTTATGACGGCTCTTCATAAGTGGGCGCTTCGTCCAAATCAGATCGCCATCAATTCAGCTCATCAAAGCGTTGCAGGCTGCTGTCCAACGCCTGCAAGGTTCTTGGACTCCCGAGGTGGGGTTCTCTTTTTTCAACGGCCGGTGGCTGACTAGCATGCCGGTAGGTTTCATTTCAAGGTGTCAACATTTGTTTCGCCAGCATTGGCGTACAACGAGGTTCACCGCTTGGGTGCAATCTGAACGCATTGATTCTCAGCTTGCCAGGGCACAAGGAATCCATGCGACTGAGGAACTCATTGACAAACTTAGGTCCTTTGCACGTTCTGCAAGTGGTGATCAGGTGGCTGTGCTCTGTGGGGGCATTACCACTGATGCTCATATTGAGGGCCTCCGAGAATTTTGTCCGGACTGTCACTGCGTTGTCTGTCCTTCTACTGAGCACGTTCTTTGGCAGTGTGAAACTTGGAAAGATCATAGGGTGTTTGACCAACCCACCGATCCCATGTGCGCTCGCATGGGCTGGAATCAAAATGGGGTGCACCCCTGTTTGGGCCAAATGGCCACGATCCGCGCAGTGGCTGCCGAGGCCCGGATGAAAAGATTGCGCCTTGGCAGGGCCCCCTGTGTGGGGGGCACCGTCCTGTAAGGACCCCTGAGCGCAGCTGTGCTGCGCTCCTTTTCTGGCCGCTACACCGCCTCCGGGTGCCAGTGTGCGGCTTCAGCTTCAACCATGGGCATGATGGTGACTGTGATGGGATCTCCTGGTTGGATCAAGACGGCTGCGTGTGCGGGCCATGGTGCTGTGCCCGCTTGAAAATGACATGTGCGTGAAGAGCTCCATCGCCGCAAGCCCAATATGTCAATGGGAACGTTGTGGTCAGCATACTGCGGAACAAAGGCTGCCACATGCCAAATGCGTCTATGCACTGGATGGTCAAAGACTGCCGTCAAGAGAGTCGGAATGGCGTCACCTTCCCCTTGAACTAGCAGGATATGCCCCACTGATTGCCGTTGAGGTTCACTGGGGGGTGTTGGCAATACCAGATGCACCCAAGCCGCTCGACTCTGGTCAATTGCATCACTCCATAGATTGCGCAAATCATTATACCAATGTTGGCGAAATCTGTCCAGCCTCAGTATACGCGATTCAGAATTGCGGGGATACCTGGCATGATGTAGGAACCACGTTGTCCAGTACTGCACAGGCCCTTCATCCTGAAATTCAATCACAGAACAGTGATGAAAAGTATCACGCAAAGGAGCCAACCAGTTGGTATTGATGGGCGGAATGATGTGGCTTGCTTGAGATACTTGAGCGGCCATTTGTCCATTGGTGAATGCCAAGCTAGGAAACACAGCGCTATGCATCTTGGGTCCACATGGATGAGCGTCCTGCACTTCTGAAGAAATCTGAAGCAAACTTGAGCCTGTCGTAGTGGAACTCCCGGGCTGAGATCCTCCAGTGGCAGATCTCTGTCGCTTGGAGGGTGCATCCGTGGAGTCACATGTACGTGTGACAGCTGATGCCTCATTGCGTTCCTTCGGTGGCAAAACTACTACTCTCAGATACACTCCATGCGTGAGCTCTCGAGGTGCTTCGTCATCCTGGTCCCAGAAGATTCTGTTGAGAAAGAGTAAACATGAGGTTTCTGGTCTGCCTCTGTTGCATGTTGCTTCCAGCTGCAAACATTGCAGCACTGTGGATCGGCAAGCGAATCTAGGCAGCCGGAGAACTTGTCGTGGCAGAAAGCCTTGTCTGACATTGGTCTCCTCCAACACAATGTCAACTACTGCCAATTGATCTGGTGCACCAGGTGGGATGTCACCAACTCTTTGCAGAATAATGGCTTCTTCTTCCAAATGTTGATCAATCAAAGGAACTTGTACATGATGAAATCCAATGGCAAGGTCCCGGTGGAGACCTACCTCCCGCAACACATCCAGGAGAATGTTGGTGTAGGTCGTCCATCTCACGAAACAATGCCGCACTGGTTGCATCAAACCAAAGACATGCAATCCTTTGAGATCTTCTTCATCAAAACTGGAACCTTCAATCAGGGAGCTTTCTTCCGCTGATTCATACGGGTCCTCTCCCTCACGCGATTCAGGGCTGAGCTGTGTGGCAGACTCCTCAATACTCACATCAATGTGCGAGCTGGAAGCAGAATCAGGATTCCCAATGGCTCGAGCTCCTTGGAGATCTTGGAAAACAGCAACAAAGGAATGTCCGTTCTGCATCCAATGCGTGGGCACATTACTGATGGGTATGTTGGCACCTCCATGAAAGAGATCACAGGCATGAGACTGTAGGATTGCATCTGCACTTGCGGCACTGAGGATGCTTAAACCGCTCACATGCCGTGGTAGAGAGGTCGCCCAAGTGTAGCTATCTGGTGCACCTGCCAAAGGTGGAAAGACCGTCGTGATCCCTCCAGCTTGCTCAGCATCTCCTTGTGTGAGAATCAAATCTGCATGGGCAGGTGACGTTCCTCTTAAAGCCCTGATTTCAGGAAAGACTACCGCGATGTTCAGCACTGCATCATTGTGAAGCTGATCCCTCCACTCCGTGAGAAGAGCATCATGCCATCCTTCCGGTTGCATAGAAAGAGTCACTTCACGTGGGACCTTCCAAACACGTTGATGTGCATGATGTAGATACCATGTCCTTACTTTGTATGGCTGTCCCTCCGGCAGTCGAAGGAGGTTATCCCGCCAGAGATGCTGAAGGTGGTGAATGTAACCAGGTACCTTTTGTGAGAGTCTCCGATCAAGAAAATGTGTGGATGATGGAGTTCCCAAAGAGCTGGATGATGCCGATTCATATTGTCTGGGATTTCGTTCACCTTCGCGATGATCGTCTGGGCAACGTCGAGGAGAGAATCCGTGGCCCATGTCGTTGATGGTAGTTGTCTGGAGTTGGAACTTTCCAGAACAATCCTTCCCCTGAAGAACTTCAACTACTTCAACAAACTTGACTGTGCCTTTGGATTTCCTACGTCGAGGCGGCAGAACAAAGTCTTCACAACGAAGTGGCCCCCAGGCTCCGACTTCTATTGCTAGATCTTGTGCCAATTCAATTGCCATCCATGGAGACGTGAAGAAAGGTTCTTGCAAAACTGTGTGACTCCAATGCAGAAAAGCTGCCTGTTGGTCACATGTGGCCGCGGGCCCTTGATGCTGGTACGCATTTGTCACGCAGCATCGGGCTTGCCAAAAGGCTGCATACTGGGCAAGGAAGCAGCACCAGGCGCGGCCTCTGTTGCAGTATCCGCTGGGTCTTTTCGTGGTCGTTTCGGCTTCGGCTCGAGTCGGTCTGCTGACTCCGAGAGTTCCGAGAGGCTGTTGACCACCTGATTCAGCCCTTCTGCAATTTTCTGTGCGTTTTCGTCCCTTGGCATTTCTTCCTCTTCTTTGGCTTCGGTCTCGTCCATCTCGTCCTCTGACGGCACCAGAATGCTCTCCTCGGTGCCGAGGGCTACTGCTCTCTTCTTGGCAATGTCCACCCGTCGCTGAGTACGACGGAGATTGTTCGTGACCTCGTGCATCTGTGACTGGAAGGCCATCTCGGACGCCTGAAACTGCGCCGTATACTCCTTCCACTTGATCACGGATTGCTGCAAAAACACACGCCATTGAGACCAGAGTTGTCGGCGTGCACTTTCCACTTCCAACAAAGTCTCCTTCGCCTTGCCATGTTCTTTGACTGCAGCTAAGAGGTCGTTTGTGCTCTCCTTGTCGTCCTTCTTCATCTCTGCATGGATCAAATCTTGAAACTCCGGAGAGAGATGATCTTCTTTCTTGGAGGCCTTCACAATACGGGCCAGCTTTTGCTGTGCACTGCTCTCCTGTTTTGGTAACACCACAGGAGGAATCCCAGGTGGGGTAGGCGCTGAGGCCTGTGGAACCATCGTCATGGTCGTAGCATCCAACGGCGGAGGCATAAATGGCATTGCAGAAACTCCTTGTGCAGCTTGAGGCATCCATGGCACTCCATGAGGAACTGGAGCCGCCATCAACAATGGCGGCGGCGGTGGAGGCGGTGATGCCATCTGCATTGGGAACTGCTGCAAGCCTTTCCCCATTCCTTTCTTGTCTGGCTGTAGTGATGGGCTCATCCACTGACCAGAAGACGCCCAAGAATTGCTTCCAAGATCTGTATGGGATTGTTGGTCTCTGGACGACCAATAATGATCTTGTCTCTTCTTTCGGGATCTCGGTCTGTTCGGAGTTCTCGGGCTCTTGGTACGTTGCTGCGGTTGCTGTTCGTGCCATCCCGTAGCTTGACCATAGGCTGACCTCTGTTGGGCTCGATGTGCACCAGGTTGCCCCATACACTGTTCCCATGCCTGCCCACATAGGTCGCAGTAGTATGCCTGCGGGGATCTCATCTTCCTGCATGTGGCACAATACCACCCAGTCTGTCCTGTATTCGCCATTGCTTGTCGAATCCGACAAAGGAACACCGGATCCTTGGAATGATGATGTTTCAAAACTTTCCAAAGGTGCCCAAGTCGATGAGGCTGTAGGCGCACAAATCCCCTGGAATGAAGGAACCACGCACGGCGAGCTGCGGCCCTCTTTCTCCTGGATGCTCTGCGCTGCGTCAACGTTGCCGTCTCCAACCACAGTGAGGATCGTCAGGAGGTACCCAAGGAAAAAGTGCATGCACCGCCACGCCCAGGGTCAAAAGATCAAGCTGCAAACCCACGCAAGCCCGATCAAGTAGAGGAACCCGAGGATGTAGTGCAGTGATGTGCCAAGTGCAAGAGGTGATGCCACGTTCAAAGGGCGCAGGAACGGGCAGAGCACGTTGCGAAGGTCCCGATGGAACCCGCGGGTGGAGGCAAAGAACCCGCTAAGGTTATGGCTTCAGAGAGGGGATCCTTAAACAAATCCAAAACCCTCCTGAGCCGAGAACCTTATATATGTGTATATATATATATATGGATTCGGATATATAAATAGCTATAACTCTGACTATACCACTAGAATACCATCATACATCATCAAACCTTTGCGTCCCCTGGGCCCCAGGTCGCCAAGGAAAAGGAAAAGCACGGCGCGCGAAATATGGCCCTTGGCTACGCAGAAGCAGCAAGGTTTTGAGGCCTGAGCTGAGATCACTGTGGAACCGAAGCTTGCGGAAATTCACAGAAGAATGATGCTATGATGCTATGATGGTATTACCATCTGGTTATTTAACATAGCCATGGAAAATCACCATTTTAAATAGATAAACCATCTGTTATTCTGATATAGTACCACAATGATGATACTGATATAGCCTGCTGATATATGTACATCATTATCAGCAATAACCTGATATATGCTATGATAGATCAGAATAACAATGGTGGTATTACTTGGTATTAGAACGTATTATGTACCTGATACTGATATAGCTCGGTATGCCAGCGCATTGTCGAAACCGAGTGATTTGAACTGGAACTTCATTGAGAGCATTGATTTGGATTCATGCAGAGAAGACTCAATTTTGTTTTTGGAGTAGAACATATTGGTTTGCAGTCGTTTGCACAGTACAGAAAGTTTCTAAGATGAATTCAATGGATATCGGTACATATTGGTGCTGATTTGTTTCATATGCCTGGTGCGCCAGGTACCTCTTCCGCCATTGGGCACCCTGCAGAGACGAAGTCAAACAGCTGCTGCATATGGTCCTCTGTCAGGCCTCGGTGACAGAGCATATAATTTTTCAGGCCTCCACAAGCTGATCTGGAAAACGGGCCAAAACCTATATATTTATATATACATAACTATTATATAATTACTGTAAATTATATATATACACATTATATCATCATTTATATTCACTAGTTTTCCATGTCTTGTTTGGTGAACATCCATTCCATCAGCGCCAAGTTGCGAAAAGCACCTCAGGACGGCAAAGCCACAGCCAAAGATCTTGCCTCAGCGCCAAAGATCGCCGCGGGAATGCCTTAACGAACTCCATCCCCATGCTTTATCCTGCTCATGCTTTTCATATTAGTTTTCTTTCTATATATAATTAATTGCCAATCTAATATATTTAATTGGGGATTTACTTTGGGCATCTGCTGCATTTTGATAGCCATTTCTTTTTTCATTTTGCTATTCTGGGAATAGCAGCAACCAGTTATCACCAATAAGGGCAAAAAACAGAAATCGGATCCAGAAGATCCTTATTTTCCGATCGCCTCAAGATGGCTGGTTGCCGGTTTTTGCCATCATCCTCACATCACTTCACTGTGACCAGTGGGAGCCGAAGATAACTGTGACCAATCAAAAAATATCTGATAAAACTGGGTTGAACCCAGCAGCATATCACTTTGAGCTGTATCACACTGTATCTTTACATGACAAAAAATCCATGACCAAAATCACCTCGCGGCCGAAACATCGATCTGCACTGCGCAAAAATCGCCAGCCATTCTGGTTCTGGGAAGTGTCCAGACTGTCAGCTAGAAAACGCAGCGGTTGATCATTTAAAGAAATCGTGCGCCCTTTTATGTCGTCTGCTGTTGACACATTTGGCATCATTTGGCAGGGACTTTTGAGATGACAGAGTGGAGAGTATTAAGCTCGCAAGAAGTTGACATATGATCGACTGTGCTGGTCCATGAAAAGCAACTCTGTAGCACATGCCTAGTCTATGTAGGGTGACCTGTCTGAAAACCCGGAATATTCGATCAGATCCACTCAGGTTCGAGAGGCATCCGTATTACCCAGGGCGAAAACTCACCTAGATGTTGGAAAACATGGTTTGCCTAAGTCTTGGTGGCTTTTCCACATCTTTTTGATATGAATAGACAGGCAATCCATGAAAACATCCCCAAGGAGACCTCACCCCCATTACAGGTACTCTCAAAAAAACCATGGGCGCATACAAGTACCTTGAGGAGATGTGGCGTCCGAAGCTCAGTGCGGAGCTGCCACAAAGCTACCAGGACCGGGGATGGTTGCTTTTTAGCACCCATAAAAGTGTTGATGACTTGGGGATGGTCTATGATTGGGGGAAAACCACATTAATATAGTGGATAACCTTGAGAAAATTGGTAATGTTTATATGTGGAAACGTTCAACTTTCAACCCCGGCTCCATGTTAATTTTCTGGAGGGTGTATAATTATATAATGTTGTACATTCACTGGGGATACAATGGGATATATTTGGGATAACATGGAGAACAATGACTTTTTGTAATGGCGATATAACGGGATAATAATGAAATACCCAATACCTAGACCCTCCAAGTACCTCGAAACATGTGGTAAGACATGGTAATATACCATTATTAATGACTTGGGAATTTTATTTACCCCATTATGGGTACTTGCAGGATCTAGGTGCAAGTGATCGTCGAGCAACGTGCTGATTCCAGCCGTCCCCAATCCACAAAGGTCTCGCCAGCAGATTGCGCTTCCGGAGAGACGGTGTAGTCAGTTTGATGCCACTACCGTAAAGGGGTTATAGTAGGGATATGATATTCATAATAATAACAATAGTATAATATATCCTCCAGCTATTAATAATACCCTCTGGTAATTTAACGTAGCTATTGAAAATGGCCATTGAAATAGTGGATTTACCCATTGAAAATGGTGATTTTCCATAGTTATGTAAACGTTTACCAGAGGGTACACATCAAGAAAACAACAAACAGGCTTTGTCCAAAAATGGTAGCATAGACCTACGTGATATTCGCCACTTTAAACTGGAGATGATGATAAACCACGGTATGGACTGGGGTACCCCATTTCGATCCGTCCAAGGACATCCAAATTTGCTACTCTGTGTTCATACATCTGACTTTACTGACTTTAATTACTTGAACGTTGTGTTTTTGTTTACCCTTATGAAGATTTTTTTGAGTCTTCTCCTTAATGTTGGACAACTCCATTCTGGTTGGTAGTTTGACCATGTTTGACATATTTGTATCATATTTGTCCACTTTCAACATCTTTCAACATCTTTCAACTATCTTTCAACATCTTTCAACTATCTTTCAACATCTTTCAACAATCTTTGGGATGCTGAATGATCCCCACCAAGGCAAGAAGCAGTCCGACGTCATGCGATTCCTGGCGCGCCTGCGCAACTGGGAGCACCTCGGAAGCGCTGGAGGTTTCACCGTTTCCCCATTTTGTGGGAGATAGGGCAGGAGGAAAGGATCCTTCACAACATGTATATTCTATATACATCTATATATATATACACGTTATACTATCGTTATACTCTATATATATACTATATTATATATATCATAATAATATTATATATATTATATATATATATTATATTATATATATATTATATTATATATATATTATATATATTATATATTATATATATTATATTATATATATTATATATATTATATATATTATATATATTATATATAATATATATAATATATATAATATATATATATATTATATTATATATATTATAATATATATATATATATTATATTATATATATAATATATATAATATATATAATATATATAATATATATAATATATTATATATATTATATATATTATATATAATATATATAATATATATAATATATATATAATATAATATATATATATATATATAATATATTATATATATAATATAATATATTATATATATTATATATATAATATATATAATATAATATATATAATATATATAATATATATAATATATATATATATAATATAATATATATAATATATTATATATATAATATATATTATATATATTATATTATATAATATATATTATATATATTATATATATTATATATATTATATATATTATATTATATATATATATATTATTATATTAATTTATTTTCTATATACAGTATCTAATATATATATATATATATACATACCATCCGATGCCTATGGTCCCACTGCTGATCTCCCCAGGTTCCGCCAGCTGCCGGCGGTGCACCGATGTAGCAAACCCACCCGTCCGGATAAGGCCAGGTTACCAGCTTGGGACGTGCTGATTTAATGGGGATATCATGGGGACTTCGCCGGTCAAAATGGTGATTTCATGGTGATTTCATGGTGATTGCGGTCAATAGTGGTCAATGGTGATGGTGAATTCCGGTGAACAGTAGGTATACCATGGTATACCCCCCTAAATGAGACTCCGGAATCAAAGTTCAAGCAATGTTCCTTGGGTCGGGTGGTGTTCATTGGAGGAAGGGACTGATGGCAAAAATATGCAAACATCATGAAGTGGATGATGAATTGGGACAATCTCCTGCAGCCACTAATGCCAACTATATCGGCAGGGCTAGTAAGTCAGCTCGCAATTGGTTGGTTTCCCCAGCTACAAGATCCTACTGGGGATGGTCATCTAGTGATCGAAAGTCTGAGATTTTGAAGAATTCGTTCAAACAATTTTAGAGGCTGCAGAGTTTTCATCAATTTTCTAGATAGCTTTCGGGCTGCTTTACATCATTTTACATCCATATGTTAGAGATATTTAGAAATTATTCAGCCAAATACTGTTGATTTCTCCCCAACATAGAGTCCTGTTGAGTCCTGTTCTTGGGGCCTGGCTTCAGCCAACATTTCGCCCAGCTGGTGAGGCTAGGAAGGTGGGCTACAAGGCCAAGCAGGGCTACTGCATCTATCGCGTGCGGGTGAAGCGTGGAGATCGCAAGAAGCGTGTGGCGAAGGCATCCTTTGGGAACCTTGGAATCCCATGGGTCATGCCATGGGTCAAGCAGCCATGGGTCAAAAAAATAAGGACCGAACAATGACAAACGAAGCCTGGAATCATGGTTAGTAAGGAGTCCCAGTATGGCCAAAAAAAACTTAGGTTAGTGAATTATGATGATTTGCCCAGAAGGATAGTTGGATTTTTTCAAATATTTTTCACCATGACATAATAAATGATAAAGGCGCTTCACATAGATTCACAATCATTCGCCCCCACAGGGCATCGTCTACGGCAAGCCCACCAATCAGGGTATCAACAAGTGGAAGGCCTTGGTGTGGCACTGGGTGGGGCACTCACTGGGGGATGCTACAAGTCGTCACTGATGAGGCTTGTCCAAATATGGGGGATATTGGAATATGTCATGATATACAATGATATATCTTATTTTAATCGATTTTGCAACCATAAAAATGGAGATCACTCATGACATTCTTGGGATTTCTTGGGAAATTAAGTGAGGATTGGTCTTCCAGTACCTTTTCAAGCTACACAATGGACTCCAGAGCATCGCATTCAGCTTCTTTCAGAGCCCAGTGAGCAGGATTGAAGAGGAAATGAATCTGTTTAAGCAGTTCTTAACCAGTTTCTATCCAGCAGTTGGCCGCATTTTGGGAAACCATTCCTTATCGGATGGGTGTAGACGACCCTGCCGCGTCGTCAACGCTGCTTCCACGCTGCGCCACAGTCCGTGCGGAACCTGCGCAGCATCGCAGAGGAGCGCGTGGGACGCAAGTGTGGCAGCCTGCGTGTGTTGAACTCCTACTGGGCCGCTCGGCAGACTTCAAGCTGTGATAGGTAGCATGAAGGTGCTACAGAGATTGTAAAGACTTGTAGAACCGAACCCAAAATCATTCAGATCTGAAGTCAAAACGGTTCCTTTCCCCATGACAAGGCAGAGTTTGGTTTCCATCAGATTTCTTCTAGGAGTAATAGACAAAAGCGAACGCCTTGGAACCTGCAGAATCATCCCCTTTGATAAGATATAAACCAAGGTGGCACAAGATGCCGTTCACAAGTGGTACGAGGCGAGGCAGCGTGGCATGAAATGGAAACACAGACAGAACAAAGAAAAACAAACAAGAGACGCAATATTTGATATCCATGTGTGCTCTCTCTCTCTCTGTATATATATATATCATATCATATATATATAGTTATATATATATATACATTTATACAATAAGGTGTACATATAATCATATATATATACATATATATATATATAAATTTGACAGAACAAGCAAAAAGCCTTGAGGTGGTCATGGTGGATCCCTTCCACACCGTCATCCGCAACGACCCGCGCATCAACTGGATCTGCAAGCCCGTCACGGCACTCAGTGATGGAGCCACCGAGAATTTTTTTGGCACTCTGATCGTCAAAGATATGGCAATTGAACATGGATCAATGGGAGGTTTACTGATATATAAATTAATCTTATAAATATTATAATATATATATATAGATATATCATGAATATGAATAAATGGGAGGTTTTTCATAGAATCACAATCATCATCTATAATTTATTGAGGTATAATGCTATGGATTTTCCATGATTTTCCAGCACGCCCTGGTGAATCCAACATCGAGGTGATGAAGCACCGTGAGTTGCGAGGCCTCACCGCTGCAGGACGCAAGGTGAGTTCCGGAGTTCCGGGGGTGGCGAACGGTAGTTGTGGTGGACATACCACAAAGAAAGATCCCTCATTGAAAAGCAAGTCACACAAACTAGATGATTGACATACAGCTCTGATGATGGAATCATTTTGGTTTAATATCTCCAACAATGATTGATGGATCAGAACCTGTGAAATAGCATATTTTGGGGTGAAGACCCCAAAGTCCTGGCTATTTTGGTGTGAACTGCAGGGTACTGGTACCGGTGTTTCAAAACTCATACCCGTTTAATGAGAAACGCACCATACACATTAAGTAATATGGGGACACAAGCTAGAACAATGCATCTGTTGAATATCTCCATCAAATAGTCCGATGAACCAGTCCCACGAAATGACCATTCCAAAGAAAGATCCAACAATTCCGTTGAATTTTCCCCATCATTTTCTTGTCTTGACCATGCATACTTTTCCATCATTCCCGAAATTCATTCAAAGCATCATTTTCGGCCCTTTTCATTCTCAAAGATTTCGATTGTCCGTAGAAACCATCCATTCTCGCAAACCATTTTTGCTGAGTCATGATGACTTGGGGCTTTTCAAAATGATCTCAGCATGGAATCACCTTGAACTCCCCATGGTTCATCATGAGCAACTTAAACTGGTTGGTGGTTTGGAACATGGCTTTTATGACTGTCCATTCAGTTGGGAATGTCATGTCATCCCAATTGACTTTCACTCAATGATTTTTCAGAGGGGTAGGTATACCAACCACCAAGCAGTAAATCACTTGGGGACAACGGGAAGTTCGAGACGCCTTCGACGCGTTCGTCCAGGCTCGTGGTCTGCTGAAGAAGGGAAAGCGTGCCACCAAGATCCGCCCCAGCTACCGTGCTGTGTATCGCCGCCACTCCCTCATGCGCCTCCGCTGGGATGCCCAGTGATGCTTGATTGGGCAAGATCAAAAGAACAACTAGGACGGTTTTTCTCCCCACACACATGTCGATACAAGATACTAATAATATCTAATACTAAAACATACTAAAACCATCAAAAACTAGCAGACCAGATTTGGAAAAGCACAGCTACTGAGACACGCAACACTCTGCCGCTTTTCCAGGCCGTTACCGCTGAGCACATCTTCCGCCGCGCAATACAACCGTACCGTGAAAGTTGCAGTTCTCCTCAGTTTCACGGACACGGCACGATTGTTGAATTTCTGTCTATTTTTGTGTCCAGATGTCTATTTGTTGGACATTAGCAACTGGTAACTTTTTTCCCTCCAGATAGCAAATCTTCACAGTTGGTATTGAAATCTCACCCAAGCATCCACTGAATCCCACTGACCTTATCGGTTTTGTGAATCTGCGTGCTGTGCCGTGTAGCTGAAAAAGGGATGCCATTCTCACCTTTCAGGCAGGACGCACTTTCCGTTGCGTGGACAGCTGGCAGTCCTCGGAAAATCTGCGGCAGCTTGGGAGGTCTGCTCGGTTTTGTTGATGAAATTGGGGATTTCAACCAAACATTGGGGGTACATAAACATGTACATAGCAACCCTTAGAAAAGATAGATAAACGCAATTTACCACTGTTTTGTTGCTTTTTTTTTTTTCGATTTCTTCTAAAGGCCTGCTATCCACTATAAACATCCATAAATCAACCAGTTTCTGTGGGTATTGATGGTACTATATCATCTATATCACATCTATATCACATCTATATCACATCTATATCATTGTATCACCAACCGCTAGTTTACCAACAGACTTCCTACGGACACATGCTGTCACTGTCCCTCACCTTGCATTTGCATGTGCATGTGCCGATTCTCGCAAGTTTGGCCCAACTTGCTGAAAGATGTCAAAGAAGAAACTCAGCACACAGGTGGATACAGTAAATTGGGAGACTTCCAGAAGGTTGTCAACCTGAGGGTCTTATGGCTGGGGGGCTTTGTTGCCCGTGATGGTTGGAAACCTACAGGTGACGATGAAAGACAGTGGGATAACCTGAGGTTGAAACCATCAAAATATCCGGAACTATCGGTATGATTAGTGAGATCATTTAAGATGATCAATGAGGTCCAAGAATCTAAGATTTTGGAATATTCTGGATTTCTATCTTGGTAAATGTTTGGTACATCTGGTACCATATCATTGCCATCGCTTTGCCATGGGCTGCGGTGCCACCAAGGCCGGCTCGAGCCGGGTCGCTCGGGCGCTGTCGCCGGAGCAGGCGGGGACGGGACGTTATCAGTGCTGCAAGCAGAGATCAGTTGGAGACGGTGGAGACTGGAGCTGATTCATTTTTAGAGCTCTGATTTGTTGATTATTTGACCTAGCTAGATAAGAAAAAAATAGACAATATAAATAGAGAATGATAGAGAATTAAGCGGGAAATAGAAGTGAAAGTTAGTTTCGGTCAGTAGAAGTAGTCGTTTTCATTGTCGAGTCAGAGGAGCTTCCCCCGAGTGGCTGTCGCACTGCGTATGGGGGCCGCAGCATGGAGAATGCCTATGCTGGGCACCCAGGTGGGTCTGGGAAAATCGGCAGATATGTTCAAATGCTGTGTAAGGATGTGTAAGATACATTCTTCAATGGATTGGTTTAATGGAAAATCTACAGGAAACCATAGATTTTCCCATTAAATATGGGGCTTTCCTGTAATTTTTCCCTTAAACCAATCCATTGAATTCTGAGTTTTCTTGAGTTTTCTTGTGTTTTACATGGACACTGTGGTCACCTCGTCAACCTTCCGACTTTCCGTGCCAGGTTTAGGTCAAGCTGAAGTGGATCCAACCACAGCCATTGATATCATCCTGGACGGCACGCGTGCTGCCCCCCGATGCCATTCATCCGTGGCGATGTTCCCCTTGGAGTTGGCCATCCTGGCAGCGCAGCGTTGGACGGAGCGACGTTCGGCGTTGGTGACCGTGGTTTCTCCCGTCGGCGCTGTGCTGTCGAGCGGAATTAGCCCGGAGATGCTCAGATTTTCTGGTGATGTTTTTGTTTCGATTTCCCCCATATTCCCGGTAAATCCACCATTTAGGGAAATCTAGAGGGAATATGTCATACTTATTGGTGCCATCAGCAAACTCCCAGGATGGGTCCTGAGTTGACTCCTTCCGGGCAAGTTTCACCTTTGCCTTCCCTGCCATCGTTGGAATCGGTGGCTGCGAAAGCTGATTTTGCAGTGGACCGTAACCCTGAGCCAAACAGAGATTGGAGAGGCCTACGGATTGTAGCGGGGTGGCTGCAAAATCTCAAAGGAGAAGAGACTTTTGTTGGATTTTCGTTGGCGCCCTTTAGTATCTTACTGCAGGTTTGTTGAATTCCTTCAGTCCTTTGGTTCTAGTGCTTCAGAATGTGCCATCCTGTGCCATACGATGCCAGCTCTCCCTGAACTGTTTAGCAGCTGAATGGCGATCCAGTATGGTCCAGTGAAATGGGTATGGATCAATACCTATGAATACCATTTTTAGTGGGATGAACATCCATTTACCAGCTATTTTGATGTTCACCAGGGGTACAAGATTTTGACACACTGCCAAATGGAAATATTGCCAAGATATGCCAAGATCATCCAACAATAGTCCAACAATAGTCCAATATTATGGTCGAATAATGTTGAATACTTCCACCAACCATAGTGGCTTCTGTGGCTTCACCAAGACAGACCTGCCATTCCACGGCTATTTCCAAACGTGCCAGGCTTCACAAAGCTGGCGTTGCAGCAACACGATTGGGTGGAGAATGGCTGCAGCCACGAGGTGGGAGTTGGTTTTCAGTGCTGCGAGTGCTACTGTTCTGATCTTCATTTTTTCTTGATGCATTTGACGGATAAGATGTTGCAGTCTTTCTTGATGCCAGCTAGAAGGTTTGTCCAAACATATCCAAACATAGGGTTCCCAGTAAATCCCCGCAAATCCAATTGCTTCATCATTTTTGGCATATTTTGATATATATTTTGACCTATCCGACCTATCCCATTTTGGGGCCCCATGGCCAGGCTCCAGGATCTTTGGCCAGGGACTGGTCTCAGATCGACGATTCGCTGTTTTTGAACCGGCCGGCAGAATCCGCTGAATCCGTAGAGTCCTTGTCAGACTCAGAACATGCCGCAAAGGTTCTTGTTTCAGATCTCTTCACGCGGCAAGTCCTGAGAGAGGTCTGATATTAGCTGCACGGAGAAATTTTGCATCAGTGTTTCGCAATGAGATGATCCTGCATGTTTGTGATGGCAGGCCAGGCTCTGAAACTGCATTTGGCGCTTTGTGAATTGAACATGGAGCATCTCGAACAGATATGGTATGATATGATTTGAGTCAACACGACCATCATCGCCATCGCCATCGCCATCATCATCATCATCATCATCATCATCATCGTCATCGAAATCCTGTGATCAGCAAAATCCAGACCTTCTCGGATTCCCGGGTTGCCCTTGAAATCACAAGCGGCTCGCACCAGTCCACTGAGCTGTGCCACGAATGGATCTCCACTGGGAAACACTGATGCGAAGCCTGGGTTTAGCGCCACATCTCAACTTTCCCATCTTTCCCACAGTCACAGTCGGACCGAACAACTGTGATTCACAGGAAAGCGCCACCAACAACTTCCACTACAGTAAGAACATCTAAATCTGCACAGTTTGACGCAATTTGGTTTCAAGTCTGATACCCAGAAAGGAAACTGACGTCAGCAGCGGTTGGAAGGATTCTCTCATCAAAGACATGGTTTCATTGGTTGTTGGAGGATGCTCCCACAGTCGCAGTGACGATCTGAACTTCTGCGAACGCAGATTCGAACGATCGAGGTCCACCAACTGGAATTCACCATCTGGGTCAAAATTGACGCTATTTGGCCGTGGGTCAAAATTGAAGATATTTGAGACCATTTGAGACCCAGAAACCTTCTAGATTTGGCTATTTTTTGGTTGATCCGCCACTGTCTTGGGATTTTGGCATATTTTGGCCCACATCAAATCTTATTGAGTCGCAGCTTGATGTAAAAACCAAGGGCTGGCAACTGAGCGAAGGTATCTGTTTCACCTGCCACTCCAGGACTTCATGGGAATCTCCAGCTTTTCCCGAAGAGGGATCCATAGATATCCGAAAATATCCTGAATTGGCCATTGCTACATTTTTTCCACATGTTTTTTGGGCAAACCCAATTCCTCACAGCGATACACCACCCCGCCTCGCAACACCGAGCTAAGGAGCTGAGATGGCGCTTCTGCATCCTGGAGGCCGCTGCTCATGAGGTGCAGATCAGTGTTTGCCGTTTGAAGCGTGGGTTTGTCTCAATTTTTTGGGGCAACCCATCCAATACCTATAGGGTTGATCCGGTCGATCATCATTTTTCCATATTTTTCCCATTTTTAAAAATCAAATCCATCAGTTGATCATCATATTTACCCATTTTACCCTGAAATGGCCATAACTCAAGGGAATCTGACCATAGTCCCTGCGCAGGTGCCAGGCATTCTTGCTCTCCTGAGGTGCGAATCCCTGGGGATTTTTCGCGGTGGCTGCTCACTCCTGCTTGATGATGAGAGGGTTATGCCAGCCAGCTAGCCAATATATAGGGGGTAATAGAAATCGATTGTTCTGTTTTGGATGTTTTGGATTGTGTGTTTCCACGATCGGGATGATCCCCATGACGAGGTTGATCATATCACATCATATCACCACATGTGCCATGGTGAAAACACATTATGGTTTATGGATTTTATGGTCATCCATCCCATACTGGAACTCCAAGCATAATGGGTTAATAACGGTCAATCCCTAGATCCCAGTCAAAATGGATTGATGATTCCCATCTCCTTTTAATTCCTTATGCTTGGAATATACATTTAATTAGTACATAGAAGTACCTATTAATGGGTTGATCATCTCCTTTTATCTTATTTATTTAAATGTATAGAATACCATAACTTGTATAGATTTAGCATATTTTACATGGATTTCATCCTTTTAAATGGGAATATCAACATATCTCAACCGTGTAAATCCACCATGTAATTTGACCCTGGCGCGTTCTGTTTCAGAACAACCACGGTATTCCACGGTGTTCCGAGGTGGCCCGATTTGACCCGGCCGGAAGCAGTGCGAGATCCGAGGGATCCAAGCGTCAAGGCATGGATGGATGGGTTGATGGGTTTATATAGAAACCATCTATAAATCCATGGGGATTTTTATGGGATTTTTACCATCTATAAAACCATCAAATTTATTTGGGATTATAGATGGTTTATATATATATATATTAATATATCATATCCCATGATTTTGTTCGGGTTTCGACCATCCGTTTGGTGGGGTAGGATCTTGCAACCATCCACAGTACCTCATGTTTGGTCCATAGCCAAAATGAAAGGGAATAGTATGAGACTACCGGAAGAACATGTTGACGGAAAAAAAGGGCCAAAACTTATCAAAACTTTCATTCTACATAGTTGCATGCGGAAGTTTGTTTGTGTCATTCTGATCCGTGAGGGCAGATGGAAGATGTTACTTTGTGTTTTAAGATGTCGTAGATGATACCCCAGTAGTCCTACTGCCCGATTTTCACAAGGAAGGCCAAGGTTGATTTTGGCTACTGTTGACTTGGATGTTCTGTGACCGTCAAACAATTTGGTTTCGGTATCAATCTGTTTCTCTTAGTTACTGACAGTCTACACAATTTCACATAATATATATATATACTGGTTGGTGGTTTCACACATTTTTTTCCATAATGTATGGGATAATCCTTCTCATTGATCAATATTTTTCAAGATGGTTAAAACCACCAACTAGTATATATAGATTTTAGTATGATTTTACTATGAATTACTTTTTGTCAGCTGATAGTCCTTGGTAGCTTCAGTGCACCCTGGCGCTGATCGACGCGAGGCCGGGAACACCTGGGCGCCCTTTCCCAATGAGTTGTCGGCCTTCGCCCTCGTGTGGTGGCAGGCAGCCGGGTCGGCGATGGGATGGGAATGCCGCAGATGACTCGGCGATCAGTTTGCTATGGAAAATGGCCATTGAAATAGTGGATTTTCCCATGAAAAATGGTGATTTTCCATAGTTATGTAAACGTTTACCAGAGGGTAAACCCAGAACTCTGCCAAGTCTGAAATGATCATTTCAGATCAATGCCTCTTCAGGCGAGGGTACCTAGAGGACTGAAGGCATAGAAACGGACAACAGAAAACATTGGTTGCCGCATGCTTCCGGTGGGCTCTTAGCTGCTTCTGGGCTGGTGTTACGATGGAAAGAATTTCCTCATCAATGTGGGTATGAGTCAACACCCAGTATCCGTGAACATCAAAATAGCTGGTATATGGATGTTCATCCCAGCATATAATTATAATATAATTAATATAGCATTTTATAATATTTCACAATATTTTATATTGATCCATAGCCAAAGCCATATAAGCCATATATATATATATAAATAGTAGCAAATGGGGATGCGAGTCAAACTTCTCTGGCCGATGGCGCCTTTTGGCATTGTTGTCCATCTCGCAGCATCTTATGTTCGAGCTACATCCACTTCGGAGTAGCTGCGACATTGCAGACTGGCCCCAGTGGACAACAGCAGTTCTATGGAATTGGAGGCTTTATCGCTGTTGAATTCAAACATCCACTTGGAATATCGCCTTCGAAGGGATACGCTCTTTGCCCTCCACAGCATGCCGTTTCCGCTTCGAGAAGACTTCACAACTGGGGAGAACTGGGACTTACGCGGCCAGAGATTTTGGCCCATCTGGTGTAGCTGGGCACAATGGCTTTGCCTAATAGTCGATGTTGGCGATCCCGACACTTCTCCTGAGGGGTTTTGGCAGCGTGACGGGGAGGTTTTGTGTGTGAAAGGCAACAAGATCTACTGGCTTTCGGTGGAAGGTGAAGCACGGGAACTGAGTTGGACATCAGCAACATCCTTTGTGGCTTGACAATTCATAATTGGGATGTGAAACTGTCAGTATGAGACGCACTGTTCAATGATGTTCAATGTAGCCAATCCAACAGAATGGACAAGTATAGTGGTTGTTGCTCGGGGCCATCATGTGACACCCCTTTTCCAACTCTACGGGCTTTGTCAAGTGACATCAAGTGACATTTGTCAGCGACATCTGCTGAGACATGCTGAGACCAGCAGCAAGGTCTGCTGTCTTTGCGATAGCAGCGAGTGTGCCGCCACGAGCGATGGGGACCGCCTGCAGTGGGCAGATGAGGATGTGTGGACTCGGCTGGGGCCAGCAGAACTGGAGATGCTGACGGTCTCATTGCGTCTTGGCCAAACGGATGTCCAAAAGTCGGAGACAACAGGAGATATATGCAGGGATACCCCAAAATTGCCAGCATGAGGGTGTTACTATATAGCGAAAGTGATGATATTTATTAATTATTATATATAAATATATTAGTATTTATACATTATTTATTGAAACCTGATGATAATCCTTGGGAATTTGGGTTACTCCATTTCAGACAATGCCACATAAACTCAGGTAATTTTGCATCCAGCACCGGGTCCACAGCAGAAACTACAGGATTTGCACCGCTGGCTGGTTCATCCAAGTGATTAGGGGACCTCATTCTGTTTGTTTTGGAAATTACATGAATTTACATAATCCAGTGACCCTCTGATATCATATGATATCCAGGTGTACATGGGATTTCTCTTCGCAGTCTGTAATTGACCAGTGATTGATTCAACAGAATCCGACGTCGGTCGGTGGCATTTTCTCTATCCATGTGGTGAATGAAGGGAGCAGTTCGGCGCTAAGGGGAGCAGCTTTGACTTCTGAGGAACCCTTTTTGCCTATGTCGATTCTTGAACTCCACCAGCGGCCTAAAGGACGTGCGTGACGTGCGAAACCTGATGTCGAGCTTTGGTGAAAAACTAGGGGTACAGGAAACATAGGAGGGACTATTTGTTTGTGTGTGTGTGTGAAAATGCCCCCCCCTCAAGCGGCAATTTCACTGTATTTTCATCACGAAAGCTAGCTTCTGCTAGCTGAAGTCCCTCTTGCTTGAGCAAGGTATTGGGGGGGCTAGAATCTCCAATCGCATGAAACTTAATACTTAACTACCCCTCCCCCTCCCTCCCCGGCTGGTTGGTTCACAAACAGTTTGGCTGTGGCTCAATCCCCCCCTGGGGACACCGTCGGCATGTCGCCGCCGGCAGCAAATTCGGCAGCATCCGCATCCTCAGCATCATTGTGTTTTCATGCCAAGCTAGCTTTCGTCCCTTACCCCTGGGCCTCAAGTAGGGAAAATCTTGCTTATACTTTAACTCGCTCTTCAGCATGTTGTGGTGCTGTGTGAAAGACCAAAATGTGGCTGATTGGATTCGAACGGATTTGACTGATTTTGCAACAGCATGCTGGCCGTTGTCAGTCGTTGAGATCGCTTCTGCGCAACTCAGGAAAGAGTCGTCCGACCTCACAGCCGGACTTCGAGCAGAGTATGCCAAGCTTTTTTCGCTTCTGCCAGCAGATGAAGAGTCCTGGATGAGATTTCAGCACGCTGTCAAACATCTACCAGAGCTTGTGGAACAGAGGAACGGCTCATGATGTCATGATGCTCTTGTATAGGCCCAAAGTATCCCAAAGTCATGGTCATGGTGTTGAACCCAATGGTCCGTCGGTCCTTTGCTTTTTTTGAAGGGGACTTCTCACGCATACTTGTTGCAGGAGGCGCAGATATTCAATCGACTTGATCCGGAGTGACTTTGACGTTCTGTATGTGGGCCACAGCTTCCTACACATGGACTCCAAGGTGCTCCCTGATCCTGGCTCTTCAACATTTAACATCGGCCATGGGGCCCTTTTTTTGGTTGGGATGGGAGCAGTTGCAGCTTGGGTGAGTCAGACCTGGTGACCTGGTGCATCCCCAAGGATCCGTAGACGCCGTAGACGCCGTAGATTGAACATCTTGAACCATGAAATTCCAGGGATATGGCTAAGTATTGACGATGAAAATCGATGAAATATGCCCGTCTTCCATTGACTTCTAAGAGTACGACGAGTTATGGCTAAGAAATCCGGAAGCTGCCCAAATTGCATCAGTGAAAAGATGTGAAAAGTGCTGAGGATGAGAACGGAGATATGACTGGCTTCCTGGAATTCCAGTCCTGGCTTCCTGGCACGGCACGAATTCTTTGCAACGACATTGGCCGCTTGCACCGCGATGATCTCATGGAGAACCTCTTCATTTTGCCTGAGGACCGCAGGCATCCGCAGGCTAAGATAGGCTAAGACTGATCGGAGTATCCCAAATTCCTTGGGATGTGGAAACTCGTCCAAGGTACAAAAGGAACATCCGAATAGCCAAGATGATGGATTCTGGAGGAGATAAATGAAACAGGTTTACCTTCATGCAATTGATCTTGTTTTGGTTTGTCTTTGTTCTTTGTCCAAAGATGTAGATGAAGGATCAAGTCTCTGAAACTTTACCGCTGGGACATTTTGATGCAGTTTGGCTGCGAAACTGCACGGCAACTTTGACATCACATGCTCTCAAAGTATTTGCTGCCATATTGAAGGCTGCTTGCAGGACAATTGGTTCTTGCTGCAAAAATCGGGAGGACTGGGAAAAACTGAGGCGACCCAAGGTTTCACAAAGCCACAGCATGCCATGGTGCCATTTGCTGCACAATGAGGTTGGCGGATTTCTCATAGCTACCCCTGCCTATTTGGACGATGGTCATGTCATTCCATGCGACCTGGAAGCCGTTTGGGTCGAAGGGCCAAGATCCGTACCTCAACTTGACCTGGCAGGTCTGTTGCCTTTTTGGGACCTCAAAGGAACAGGGCATCTGTCCGTTTTTTTTTTCCCGGACCCAAGTGTGGTTTGCTTGAAAATAGAGTACCCCCCAAATCCACTAAGAATCAATAAGTTTATCATCATGTTCCTTATTGACTGGGCAAGGGCAATCATTGGAGTATTTTTTCATCCGTGCTGAATCTTGAATCTGTTTTTCCCCCATGCACCACTGGAGGCATCTTTGACATTACAAAGTTGTAGGACTTGGAGGAAAATTGCCGGGCAAAGAGCGTCCTAACGGTGATTGACCTGGAGCAAAAAGTGCGTTGTCTCGAGCAGTTTCTCAAACCAGCGTTTCTCAAGCGGTGAGAATTCCATAGTGTATAATCCTGAGCTATTCTCGTCCCGGGTTTCATAATTAGATCATCCCCAGTTGACTTCGTTCTTTTTGTATATTTTTGTGTTTTTTTTGAGATGGGTGACTGAACCACCAGGGCAATGTCTTCAGCTCTTCATGTAGGCCATGTAGGCCTTTCGTTGCCAGTTGCGAGGCACTCTTCACGCTGATTGGCACCCCGAAGGCTGGAACTGCCTTTCTTTAGCTGCGGCAAGTCTGGGGCATCTGTTTCGAGCCATGACGGGAGTTTTACAGGATGGTGCCCCCCAGTTATAAGTGGGTTTATAAACCCCACTAACTATAGTTATATCTGCCATAAACCATAGTTATGGGAGTTATAAACCAACTTAGCTATCTTGGGGGGCCTCACATTGTAGGATATGAAACCATCCGTTTTTTGTGGGGTTGCCAGCCTTTTTGTTGAGGGTTGATGATTTTTGGCCCATTTGATGCCATTTGAAAGTACCGAGAAGGAGGAAGGCATTGGGAGGCAGTTTGATTGCTCGACATGCTCACTGTGGAAACATGGGTTTTGTTGATCATTGATCGCATACTTGATGAATAAAGCATATAGTGAAATGGGTTTGTCTGAAAATAGGGAATATTCCCAATGAAATAGCCATTTAAAAACGGGATAATGATCAGCAAAACCATTGGGTTTAGGGGTACACTATTTTCAGACACATCCAAATATTATACATGCTTTGCTTACTGAGCTGTAGACACAGATCTATCCTTGGTGGAGTGGCTTTGTTTTGTCGATGGGCTAATTACATGTATATAATTAAATATTACCTCCCATTTTACGGTCATGTGTATAGGTATGTCAACTCCGGAAAACATCATGTATTGCCATCAAAACATCCAAAACCCATTCAAATCCATTCAAAACTGCGGTTCTTCCCCAGCAAATTGAGCGGAATGTTCTCCAGCCTGCGGCAGTCGGACCATATGGTCCGCCCTGCGGCCTTGAGCAAACGCTTCTTGCGGACGCAGGCCGCGAAGGGCTGGACTTGGGGGTGGGGTGGTTGTTTAACCAATTCATATTTTACTGAGATATCATGGCATAGTAGGGGGATATGATGGTTTATATAATGGAAGTAGTGAGATGTAATAAGATGTAATAAGATGTAATGGGATAAAATGGTAACTAATGGGATATGATGGTATGATAAGATAATGGAAGGAGTGGGATATAAGGGATAAGTTTGTAAATAATGGGATATAAAACCAACCTTGTGATATCGGTTGGTCCCCTTAAATTGTAGGTATATCCATGCCATGTATATCCGATGTTATGGCCATGAAATGATCCGGAACACAATGACAAACCATCGGATTCCTTGTCCACAAGGTGTTGACGCGCTTCCGCCGCTATGTGTGGAAGCCCAGAGCAGCTGGCACTTGGCTCGCCCACAAAGGCCACACAAAGGCCTGATGTTTTCTCTGGCTTCCTTCGGAACTTCGGAAGACCTGCAGTATGATGTTTACATATTATGTTTACAACATATTCAATATTATATTCATACTTTGATCACATCAATATTATATTAAAGACCTTCGATCATATATATATATTCAATATAATATTCATAACTATTCATAACCTATTCAAAACGTCGCGAGTCCGATTCTCAAGAAGGGAAACCAATGGTCGAAGCAGCACGAGCGATTTCGCTGCTACAACCAGTGGTTCATCATGCTTTTCCTGATTTGATGGTAGTGAGTGTAGCATAGTGTAGCCCATTAATCCAAATGATCTCCAGCAGTTGCTAAGGCGAGGAGTTCCAATCTTTTGAAGCGGGGAAGGCTGGGCTGCCAGACAGGGAAACGGGAAACGACTGCGATTTGAACAGTTTGGGTTCTTCCATCGGTTTCCATCAAAGAGTTGCAGTACGACTCAGTATGACTAGTTACTGCGTAAGCAACATGCACCCGAGGCATTTACTCCCGCGCTTGGCAGCTTGATGCTCAGGGCTGAGGCTGTGAAGTCCATTTGCAGTTTGTACAGCAGAGGTATTCGCAGCAAAAAATGGCTTGCAAGAGGATGCCTGTCGCATTTTGGAGAGGCCGGGCTCGGAATTTAGCATGGCATAGCATATCATAGCACCAGTGATACCATCACAGCCCAGAAAAAGTGGTCTCCTAATGTGGAGGTACCCCAGAATCATTATAATGGAAAATCCTATATCAAAATGGATGATTTGGGGGTATCCCCATTTTGGGAAACTTCCATATGAACAATTCCACAGTGTATTTTTTTAATCCTGGATCGAACGCCTGTTTCGCACCATTGGACGCCGTCTGAAGGTGTGTCTCCCACGGCGCTCGGAAGAAACGCGTGGAGCGTCTCCTGAGTTTTGCTGCCTTGGAGTGCGAGAACCCAGAGAAGCCTCTGGTCTTCTGGGAGCAACGGAGAATCCCACAGACAAAAGATTATATTGTAATTATAATATGTTGATATCTTATATATAATTACTTATATTATACTAATGATTACTATATGATGATTCCTATATATAATATATATTTAATATATTATATATATGAATCATCATATAGTAATCATTAGTATATAATATAAGTAATTATATATAAGATATCAACATATTGTTTTAATATATTTTAATTGCACTTATATAAGGAACTTCCGGATATTGGACAACTCTTAGCGGAGTTTGGGGAGTCATTTCTGGTCTGCTGCAGGAAGCAGGTTGCAGTGACTGGCTTGGATTTGCCTGAGGTCACTCGCACCAGACACCAAGGCGCTGTTTTGATGGGCGAGGTGGAGCATGAAGTCGGGGACAGCGTCAGTACGTTTACCCTATAATAACCATAACTATGGCATAACATGGCATGACTATGGTTAATAATGGTTAAGAATGGTTTATAATGGCATACCCTCTGGTAAACGTTTACATAACTATGGAAAGATCCACCATAGCTATAATGGGAAAATCAATTAGCCATTTTCCATAGCTATTTTGACATAACCAGAGGGTACATTTGGAATCATTTGGCGTCGTCGTTTTTTTTTATGTCCAGGCAGCCGCTGACTGTCACGTGGTGTTTCCGCTTGGGATGACGAGTCTCAATCACCGATTCTTGGGGATGCAGTTGATATTTTTTGACACATTTCAGAGCACCATTTGGTGTATATCCATCCCATCATTGATCGCCCCACATCTCGATGAAATCTCCATCAAATCCCTGGGGAAACCCACATGTTCCCACCACTTTCCTATGATGTCCCCATTATCGGGGGTCTAATATCCATGTCCATATTTTCCAGTTGGAGTTGTACTTGTGTGGGATCTTTGGGCCGATCCGCGTGGTGAGGAGGGCCGCGGATGCTCTCTGATGGAAAGGGTGAGACACGCGTCACGCGTCACGACGGCCATCCAAGACGTGTGGTCCTGCCGAACGGAGTACTGTGGGAGAGTCCCATTTCTCTCTGAACTCGAAAGGTTTGGGGGATTGACATTCCCATGACGGATCCATGGTGCTGCTATAGATGGTAACATTTACCATCAATATACCCCCAATGTTAGCATATATACCATACATGGATCCTATGGGATTGATCTTGAAACATCTTGGAACTGACATGATCGTAATTCTCAGCAAAACTGCACATCAGCAGATGATGCTAGATGCAAATACAGCAAGGCCGAGCGTGTATGAGCTTCTCATGATGAATTCACACCCCATTCACCAGGGGGCTCTTGAGATTGTCCTTCCAACCTCAAACAACTGGGTTTGTCCAAACGAGGGGCAAGAAAAATGATGAAACATGGTAATAATGTAATAATCAGACCCCATGTTTGGTAACAATTCCAAAACATGGAGGTCTGGTAATAATCCTTTGGAATTGGACAGTTCGCATTTTCAGACCAGACCTCCGGTCCAAGGTTTTTGCCAGTGCAAGCGGTGGCTCGTTTCGGACTCAGAGGAGTTCGCTGCTGCACTGCTCGGCAACCGATCATCCAAGAGACCGAAATTGGTTGCTGGTACCTTGCAGTATGTCATATCTATGGAACATGTGCCATTTATAGATTCCATATCGGGAAATGTGCCATTTATAGATTCACCATGATTTACCCTCTGGTAATTTAACATAGCTATTGAAAATCACCATTTTTAATGGGAAAATCCACTATTTCTATGGTCATTTTCAATAGCTACGTTAAATTACCAGAGGGTACCTATTAGATCATCTATTGACCGGCCATGAAAAACAGTGATTTCAAAGCCATGGGATGTTCGCAGGAGCCCAGATGCTGTCACCGGTCATTGAGGCGGGCTTTGATGTTGAAAGATGCAGAATCGGTTCAATGGAACATGGGCTTCGGAATTGGGTTCTGGAAATAATATATCTATATTTTCCATAGAATTTGATGAATATATATATATATATATGAATATCAAATTTCTATGGTTTCAACTATCAATTTTCCATTCAGCCAATCCATTGTAATTTCCGCTGGACCCGCAGCAGGATCTGGACCAGTTCGCCTCAAACCCACTGGTCTGAACCTGAAAGCAGACGACCTTTTTTTAACTGCACTGAGGATGACTGGAGTCGAGTCTAGAGGTCAAGATCCACAGCCCCATTCTGGGAAATCCTTGATCTAAAAACCCACCAAAAGTTCGGTTCGACAATCTACGAAAAAATATCCATCAGATAGTCTGAAGTCCTAATTTTTATAAACATAAAAATCAACAAATTCTCAAAATTTTCTATCTCCCCGAGGAGCTTTCCGGGAATGTCTCCCCAAAAGTTCCACCGCTTCCCGGCTCCACCGCTGCCACCGCTCAGTTCCCAGCGGCTTCACGTGCAGCTCTGAGAAGTTGGAAGTCCGCTGCCCGAGAAACCGGGCCATTTTAATGGCAGGTTTCATGGGCACAGCGGGCTATTATCAT